GGAAGATCCAGAAGCAAGCACGGATTCGTCGTCGCCAATTGTTTGGCGAGCGGACCAATGTTGCCACTGACTCCCTGAGCAACTTCTTCCGCAACCAGGCCCAGATGCTGTACATCAGTACATGGCAGGTTCTGCAGCTCTGTGAAACCGGCCGGCCAGGTATTGTGCAGGCCTTCGTGTTGATTGATCAAAAGATTCACGCACTCAATGTTAAAGTACCGCGGCAATTCTTCGTGAATTTGAAGCGGGACTCTCTGCCCGACATAGATGTGCCAGAGTGCGAGGTTGAGAAGGTCAATCATACCCTTCCTAATGGACATCCTTCGGTCCACCTCTTCCGTGTGTCGTTGACCGAAGACAAGTTCCTCGAGGAGGCTGATAAGATGGATGCTTTGTTCCAACATCCCAGTATCGAGGGCGTTTATGAGCGAAACATTACACCAAGTATCCGAGCAGTGCTGAAGCTTGGAAGCCACTGTACTTTTGATGAAGAACAGCGTGGCGTGCTCGGTGACGGTTTGGACAAAGGCTTTGATCTCTCTACTCTGCTTCATGCCACTTCTGACGAACCTTATTTGATTAATTCGTCCTTGGCATACCATTACCTATACCACGTTGCCTCCGGAGATCGACAAGTCTTTGCCCTGTTCTCAACGGCTAAAAAGGAAGCCAATATTGTTATCCTGAATAGGACCAGGGATGCCCAAGGCCTGCCAAATGTCGATAAAATTTACTCCGAGCTGCTTTCTCGCAAGCTGCAAGACACTGCTAGTGATGCAGCACAAAATGCGTTTGAGTACCAAGAAAAGATTCATTTCAGGACGACCCAGGTGATGACTCGACGGAAGGCTCACCTCGAAATTGGTGACTTGGTGAGGAAACTCCGCAGTGAGGAGACCCAACCAGCTATTTTGATCATTCAGTCCCAGCAAAAGGACCGACTATGTCACGAGATTCCTATTTTGAAGGAATATCCCACCCTGTTTGTGAAACCCGAAGTTTCGGACATGGATCTTCCACCCCTCGGCTGGCAATCCTTCATCGCAAGACGCCTGGTCACCCATTACCTGTATCTTGCAGCCTGGATCCAGCACCTGACCCTGCTTGCTCGTTACGGAGATGTGCCGCTTTGCAACTTGGAGACAGATGATCCTCGCTATCTAATCGATATTTCGTATGCTAGACGACTTCAGAAGAGCAATGTTGTTCTCTGGTGGTCTACGGCGCCACGACCAGACCATGCCGGCTATGAAAGAGATGATATCGTTGATTCCTTGGATAAGGTCAACATGCCAGCAGTGAACTCGCCAAGTTCTTATTCAACAGTATGCATCGAGCTGGATGTTCGCAACCTTGCCATCAATACAATTCTCACATCCTCCATTGTCAACGACATGGATGGGAATGATGCCCTTTTAGCCCCCTCTGGTGGCGCAGAAGACACAGGGGTTCTGTACTCCGAGAAGGCATTTGCATCTGCTGGCGCGGTTGTTTTGCGAGAGATGGTCAAGAACTGGTGGACAGAAGCATGCGCTGGAAATAGCATGGCTGATATCATGGTCCAACATTTGATTCGATGGGTGGAGAGCCCCGTCTCGTGTCTCTATGATCGATCCTTGCACAACTACGTGCGACTGCTCTCCCGCAAGTCGTTCCAGAGGTTGATGGCCGAGTTCCGACGAGTTGGTTCAAATGTGATCTTCGCCAGCCCGACCCGTCTTCTGCTTCAGACCACCAAGACCGAGGTCGGCAATGCCTACGCTTACAGTCAATACGTGCTGAAGTCGATCCGAGCTAATCCTCAATTCCACTTCGTCGATCTTGAGATCAAGGAATACTGGGACTACCTCGTCTGGTACGATGAGTACAACTATGGAGGTAAAGGCTGTCGGGAAGTAGTTGAGGCCGACAAGCAGGACCTCGAGACCGTCATGCACTGGCAACTCAGCCGATTCTTGCCGACGCCCATGCAAACTATCTTCCACGACTGGGTTGTCGAGTACATCGAATTGATGCATACTGCGAAGCGACCAGATCAGCAAGATGCCGAAATCTCTTCTACGCCCCGTTTGACCCAGATTCCCATCGGGCAGTCCAGTCAAGGGGATAACCAGGAGCTCACGGCCGTACTCGCGGATCGATTCTCGAAGCCTCTGAAGAAGCAGATTTCTGGTCTTATTCGCCGCCAGCGCGATGAGATGCTCCATCCCGAGCTCGCATCCGACTATGCCTTCCCAGTTCTTCCTGGCGTCCTGGTGGATCCCCACGGAGACAAGCGCAATCCGGCACTAGAGCTGGTGAAACTGCTGATGCAGGTTTTGAGTCTGTCCAAGACAACTACCCTGGAATCCCGACTTTTACGTCGGGAACTACTGGCCCTGTTTGAAGTGCGCGAATTTAGCAAAGAGGGTCGCTTCGAGAACCCTAGCGCTAGCCTGAAACTGCCCGAGCTTACCTGCAACGCCTGCTGTCTCATCCGCGACCTGGATCTATGCCGTGACGAAGACGTACTTCCCGACCCGGGGGATACCAGCAAGACACCCAAGCCATGGCGCTGCCCCTTCTGTCAAACCGAGTATGACCGGTTGGCGCAAGAGGAAATCCTCATTGGCCAGGCGCACGGTCTTGTTGTTGAGTGGCAGACGCAAGACCTCAAGTGTTCCAAATGCAGCGGTCTAAAGATCAGCGAATTTATGGAACACTGCTCTTGCAGTGGTGCCTGGGCTCCCACTGTGGACTTGAAGGAAACGGAGAAGAAACTGCGCGTGTTACAGAGCGCTGCCAAGTTCCATAGTCTGCAACTGCTCGAAGGCGTTGTGGAAAGTGTGCTTGCACAGATGTAAGCTGTTTTATGTTTTAATGTTTGCATGTTTTTCTTTGCCATTAAGTGGCTTTTCGGGTCACACAAGGCGTTTTCAAGGTTGGGAGTTGAGCATGGCATACGCGGCATAGTTACTCGGTGTTGGGTCAAAGTGTAAATAGCCTCTGTTTGGCGATCCTCGTCGATCTCGTAATGTGAATCACTTGTATCTTTCCTCTTCTTCTCTTCCCACTTTGCCTCTCTTCTCTGGATTTCCGATATCTCTATTTGATTACAACCCCTGCACACCTTCGCTCCTTGGTGCTGGAGAGTAAACAATCTCCTGTGAGTGGCCCTGCGCGGGCACCTTGGCGGGGTTCCGCCGCACATATGAACACCACTGCTGTGCCACAGCAGTCGGGCTGACTCGTCTACACAGTTACATATAAATCACTCGCGTGTATTTACTGCGCCGATAACCCTCGATTCGATCTCGCCCTGCCTGAACCTCCCCCTTCTCGCCCGTACTCTCCTAATGGCCCAACCTCCGAGCGGTCAGAGACCGATGGTCCAGCCGTGCCGATACAAGACGGGCAAGACCCTCGGCGCAGGCTCGTACTCCGTTGTTAAGGAGTGTGTACATATCGACACCGGTCGCTACTATGCTGCGAAGGTCATTAACAAGCGTCTGATGGCGGGGCGCGAGCACATGGTACGGGCAGTCGTTCCTACGGCGGAGCACACGATGCTAACCACCGTCCCCGCGGGGACATGCCCAGGTCCGAAATGAGATTGCAGTGCTGAAGAAAGTATCCATGGGCCACCAGAACATCCTTACACTGGTGGACTACTTTGAGACCATGAACAACTGTGCGTTCAGCCCCGGCGGCTAGCTTTGTCTTCGACCCGATGCTGATGCTTGATGCGCTTTAGTGTACCTTGTCACCGACCTCGCTCTGGGTGGTGAGCTTTTCGATCGCATCTGTCGCAAAGGCAGCTACTACGAGTCTGACGCCGCTGATCTTATTCGCGCCGTCCTTTCTGCGGTGGCATATCTCCATGACCACGGCATCGTGCACCGCGATTTGAAGCCTGAGAACTTGCTCTTCCGTACCCCGGAGGATAACGCAGACCTTCTGATCGCCGACTTTGGCTTATCCAGGATCATGGATGAGGAGCAGTTCCATGTACTTACCACAACGTGCGGTACACCGGGGTACATGGCACCGGAAATCTTCAAGAAGAGCGGGCACGGAAAACCAGTGTAAGTCTTCACTGGACGTGCGTTCCCAGTACACGGCTAATACTTTATGCCACGTTATAGTGATATCTGGGCCATTGGCGTGATCACCTACTTCCTTCTATGCGGATACACCCCATTCGATCGTGACTCCAACCTGGAAGAGATGCAGGCCATCCTCGCCGCGGACTACTCCTTCACACCACTGGAGTACTGGCGCGGCGTATCCCAGGAAGCGCGCCAATTCATTAAAGGCTGTCTGACAACCGACCCAACCAAGCGCATGACCGCTCACGAAGCCCTGCAGCACACCTGGATCAATCCTCCCTACGACCAGTCGAAGATCGGATCTGGCGAAGACCTTCTTCCCACCGTCAAGAAGAACTTCAACGCACGCCGCACCCTGCACCGGGCTATCGATACCGTGCGCGCTATTAACAAGCTGCGTGAGGGCGGCGGTTTCATGATGGATGGCGTTATGAGCATCGATCCGAAGCCTGAGCGTGTTAATGGAAATGAGGTTGTTGCTGAGGAGCAGAGTCAGGCGAACGAGGGTGCGAGTGAGGGCGGTAGTCCCATGCAGATTGATAGTCGGGGTAATGCACGTGGGCAGACGGAGGCGCAGATCCAGGAGCAGGAGCGGAGGGTCAAGGCCATGGTTGCTGGATTATGGAGTGGCCGTGGGGCTCATGGAAAGTAAGATGTGTACACACTTGGACGTTATCTACTCTGGACTAGGGCACTGGTGTCCAATCCATATTTCGAGTCTACATATCATGACCAATTGCAATGACTGATGAAATCATCGGCTCTCTCCAGCATTGGAAGTATGTCATTCAAAGTAGATGAGGGAATGGTCCCCTCTTGTCATTGTATAGTGCCATTATATATATCAAAGAATCATTATCATCACCATGAACCCGTCTAGAATTAAACGGGGTCGTCTAGAAGCATCCACAATCAGGCCAAACTCAAAATGTCCCTTCCATCGTCTAGAGAAAGCACCCAGTTCCGCCAGTCCTGCCAGTCCTTATAACTAGCCTTGGCCTTGAGACCCTGATACCGAACAGTCTTGAAATCCGAGACCTGTTCCCACGACTTCATTCCAAAGGGAGTACTCGATGCTCCTCGAAGGAGTTTTCGTGCAGCACTTCCAGCACCGCCATCCCAGCCCGCTTTCCGCATCAGGCTCTCAACTGTCTCTTCTTTCGTCCAGCCCTGTTCGGTGGCTACATCGGGGAGATATGTGGCGCCGTGGCGCCGGCCGCGATGTATGAACGAAATGCGGATGCCGTGTGTGCCGAGTGTCCAGTCCATGGCGTCGGTGCAGGGTTCGAAGGAGCCCAGAAGGGTTAGAGCACATTGGAGTGAAGGCAGGAGAGATTTGGGAATTGGGGAGAAGCGGGAATCGTCGAAAGCCCTGCATTTTCAAGATGTTAACAAAGATGATCCTGGCCTTGGAGTTGGGTTCGTAATGGCTTCGGCTCTTTGAAAGAGAAATGATCCACGTACGAGGTTAAAGCGTATGACTTGAGCCCCGCCGCGAGGTCCTTTGCCTCGAACGTGCCTATGCACCCGCGAAGAGACTTGGAACCGCTTCGAGACAGCGTATTCCACGTCACGAATAGTGGGTATCGTTGCTCAGACGACTTGGAAATTCCAGACAGTACACTAGGAGTCGTCATCGCTGTAGAGGCTGACAGATTCGAGTTAGATGATGTGTTAGAGGTGCTTGATGGCGTTGTGGCCGTGCTGGACGAGTCGGACGCCTGGCTCTGCAGACGTTTAATGCGAGGGATTTGCAGGGCCTTGGGCCGACTATCCTGTTCGGCATCCTCATCGTCATTTACAGACTGCTCGTATTCCTCATTCGCGAACTTTGATAGTTCCTTAGACTGCTCGTACTGTTCCCAGAGCGCTTCTATAGCTGCCAAACTGGCGGGCTCACGATCCTCAAACGAGGCATAAAGACTCTCAAAGCAATAGAGGCACTGGGCTTGGTTTGCCATTTCTGCAAAGGGTTTGTGTTCTTAGCTTGAAGATGAACTGACACAGAACTGGCTTCTGCACTGCCGCACCACTTCAGATCCTTGAAGCAACCACGAGCCTGGTGGATAATGACGACTGCGGGGTCGCAGACAGGATAGAAGGCTGCTTATCGGGGACAAACCCAATGGAAAGCGACCCGTAACAGACTCGGAGCAGTGTCGAAGGTGATCTGAGGAAGTTGAGGGGGGCGGCAGTGCGAGGGAGGACGAGCGACGCCTGAAACACTAAGACAAGTGACGAAATGACCGAGTGAAGGCGGGGAGATATGGTTCGACACGTGATGGGTCCTTACATAACACCTACAGCCTGAGAATCTAGCAAGAACGAAAATATACAAGTTAGTAGGAAGAGTTTTTACCATTGAATGGTATTCCATTTCAGTTAATGGTGATGTACAGCGAAATCAAAGGCCCCCACGCCAGATCATGTTGAACTTTTTTGGTCTCCTGGAAACCAGACCCTCCCGCAGTTGAATAAGCGGCGAGGTGATGTTGCTCGTTTCATATGCTCAAAAACAAAGAAAAACAAAAATTACCGAACCCAGACCTAAGGTTGAAAGAGCAGACCTGTATATAAACCCCAAATAACGCACCGTGTGGTATTTGCATCTTACCGACGCTTTCGTGATGTTGAACTCGCGAGATCCCAAGGATCTCTCTTCGTAACTTTCATATCATGACAGTCACCTCCCCACTATAGTCCTAGGGGGACTAATTTAAACGGGCAGGGGGAAAGAGCTGGCCCAGCCGGCAACCTCCTTGCGGAGAGCCAGGATCTCAGGGACGGTGCCGGAGGCAACCTTGGCCTTGAAGTCCTTCTGCTTGTTGGCCTCCTTGGGGAGCTCGCTCTGGACAGACTTGCAGATGTTGACGGCCTGGTCGACGTAACGGGCAATGCGCTTGAAGTCCTCCTCACCCATACCACGGGAGGACATGGCGGGAGCACCAATGCGGATACCACCGGGGGTCAGGGCAGACTTGTCACCGGGGACGGAGTTCTTGTTGCAAGCAATGTTGATCTGCTCGAGGACAGCCTCAACACGAGCACCATCAACCTTGCCACGGAGGTCAACGAGGACCATGTGGCTGTCAGTGCCGTCGGACACAAGCTTGTGACCGAGAGCCTTGAACTCAGTCTCAAGAGCCTTGGCGTTCTTGATGACCTGCTCCTGGTACTGCTTGAACTCAAGGGTGTCGGCCTGCTTGAGAGCAACAGCCAGAGCGGTGATGGTGTGGTTGTGGGGACCACCCTGGTGACCGGGGAAGACGGAGAAGTTGATGGGGTTCTCAAGATCGTACATGATGTCCTTGCCGGCCTTGTCCTGGCCACGGACACCCTTGCGGAAGAAGATCATGGCACCACGGGGACCGCGGAGAGACTTGTGGGTGGTGGTGGTGACAACATCGGCGTACTCGAAAGGAGAGGGGATGACGCCAGCAGCGATCAGGCCAGAGATGTGAGCCATGTCGACAACAAGGTAAGCACCGACCTTGTCAGCGATCTCGCGCATGCGCTTGTAGTCAATCAGACGGCAGTAGGCGGAAGTACCAGCGACCAGGATCTTGGGGCGGTACATCTCGGCGTTGGTCTCGAGCTGGTCGTAGTCGATGATACCAGTCTCAAGGTTGACACGGTAGGGGAAACTCTCGAAGTAGGTAGAGACAGCGGAGATCCTGGTAAGCTTATTAGAATCGATTGGATGAAAGGTGATGACTGGATGGAAATCTTACTTCTTGGTGGGAGTAGCATAGCCGTGGGACAAGTGACCACCGTGGGGGAGGTCGAGACCCATCAGACGGTCATGGGGACGCATCAAGGCCTGGTAGACCTGCAGGTTGGCAGGGGAGCCAGAAAGGCACTGAACGTTGACACCCCACTTGGCGGAGTCAAGGTTGAAGGCCTTGAGGGCACGCTGCTGACAGGTGATCTCAATAGCATCAATGTGCTGGTTACCACCGTAGTAGCGAGCACCGGGGTAACCCTCAGAGTACTTGTTGCACATAGGGGAACCAAGAGCATCGAAGACAGCGCGGGAGGTGAAGTTCTCCGAGGCAATCAGGACGACGGACTCGCGCTGACGCTGGATCTCAAGATCCTACAAGACGACAATTAGCCACCGGCTTCCAAAAACAATGTACAAGATAGCTTCATTGAGCTACTAAATCAATTGGGGTATTCACATACCATGATCTTGGCGATCTCGGGATCACTCTCCTTGAGACTAACGTGCATTTGCTGTATGGCATGATGAGTCAACGGTCTGCTCTAGCATGAAAGAAGAAGAATACTTACAGCCTTGTGGGCCTCAGACAGGGCGTAGGACGACATTGTGATGAGAGGTATCTCCTTAAAGGGTTAGGAGAAAATAGAAGAGGGAGAACGATGAGATGAAGATATAGGAAGGGAAGAAGGAAAAAAAAGTAAGAAAGTTCGTTGGTGGGGGGAGGGGAAGGATCGCCGAGTGCCTCAGGCATCACCACGGATGTCGCGATATCGGAGACTTTCACCAGATTGGGGCTGGGGACCCTGTACGAAAGCTGTATAGCTCCTCCATTTGGCTACATTTCTTTTTGTTTGTTCCTAAGTGCATAAGTACGCACTAATGTAGTTCCATTCAATCACATTCAATCATGGTCTGGCCCATCACTGGGGCCGATTTACTTTCTTGTCCTTCCCAAGCACGATATGTGCTTGATGCAACTTGGGACTCAGGTCCCGGATGAGATGATCGCTAAAGACACATTGGGTATTCCTTTCCATGAATCCAATAAAAACGCCTAGGGAATTGGGGCCTGCAGATCCAGCATTATTAGACCCCAGATTATTGCCCTTTTTTGTCAAACAGTGTGTTCTTCATGCTGCCACCTCAGCGCGGTCCGCCTGATTCTTTCCTGCGCGGCTCCCAAAGTCTGAGATCACAGCCCGCAGACGGGCAACCCGGTCCTCAAGCTCCTGGATTTCATTTTCTTGTTCTTCCACGGATCGATGCACATCTGGAAGCTCCTCGACTACGCCGCGCGCCTTCTGGATCCGAATCTTCACCGAGCTGGTTGCCGTGGGAAGGTCTTTGGTATCTAGATGCTCCGAGGCCTTAGGGTTGAGGATAGGAATATCGGCAGCAGACTGTGAAACTCCAGTGTCGTTGTTTCCACCTCCGGGGATGCTCGTAGGAGCTTGTTGGCTTTGTGATGGCGCGTTATCCGAAGCTCCTAGAGCTCCATTGGCTTCGCCAGGAGCGTCACCGGGTTGATTGGACGGCGGCTTTTGAATGAGCAGGCGAGAGAGAATGCCATGGAGTGGTGGGATGATCTCAAATGTTGTCGGTGAAGGGAAAGACACTGGTTGTGATGCGGTCGCGTCTTTGGGACTCTCGGGCGCGACCGAGGATTTGGGCAGCGGCGTGGCTGTAGGTGGCGATCTAGAAGCCATTGCAGATCGAGGTAGAATCGGAACCCGAGGGAAGAAGTGTGAATAACGACCAAAAGCCGGGGACTGGGGTAAGTATTTAGGGAAGAGTCGGAACGTGCTGTGACGTCGGGGCTAGAGAACCAAAAGCGTCACCGGGAATGCCCCTCCTTCACCGGTAACATTTTCGTTGTCTTGACTGGCGCCCACGATTTCCTTCTTTCTCCTCACTATCTACCTTGGTAAGCAGCTCCCCAACTGTATCCTCGTTATCTTGACTAGGATCATCCATTGACTTGTTATAGTGGTGTGATTCCGATTACATACACCCCCACCATGGCTGTCGACCAGAAAGTCGCTTTGAGTATGATCTACTTGCCCCCCAGGTCCCCAAAACCCAGAGCTAATTCGTCCTTCCAGTCGTAATTGACGGCTGGGGTATTGCGGGCCCCAACTCGCCCCCGGAGGGCGATGCCATCGCCGCCGCCGAGACCCCGTTCATGTCCGGCTTCGCCGAGGCCAACTCGAAGACTGCCCAGGGCTTCACTGAGCTCGAGGCCTCCTCGCTGGCCGTCGGTCTCCCCGAGGGACTGATGGGCAACAGTGAGGTCGGTCACCTGAACATTGGTGCTGGTCGTGTTGTCTGGCAGGATAGTGTTCGCATTGATCAGGTCCTCAAGAAGGGTGAGATGAACAAGGTTGAGAACGTTGCCAAGTGCTTCACTCGCGCCAAGGAGGGTAATGGCCGTCTGCACCTGTGTGGTCTGGTCTCAGACGGTGGTGTCCACTCCAACATCACTCACCTGTTCGCTCTGCTCGAGGTCGCCAAGAAGATGCAAATCCCCCAGGTCTTCATCCACTTCTTTGGTGATGGCCGTGATACCGATCCCAAGAGCTCCGTTATCTACATGGAGCAGCTGCTTAAGAAGACCAAGGAGCTTGGTGTTGGTGAGATTGCCACCGTCGTTGGCCGTTACTACATCATGGACCGTGATAAGCGCTGGGAGCGTGTCGAGATTGGTATGAAGGGTCTGATCACTGGCGAGGGCGAGGAGAGCTCCGACCCTCTTCAGACCATCAAGGAGCGCTACGAGAAGAAGGAAAATGATGAGTTCCTGAAGCCCATCATTGTTGGCGGCAAAGAGCGCCGTATCCAGGGTTTGTATCCCGCTCAAACTGTATCAAATACAACCATTAAGCTAACCTATCCCAGACGATGACACCGTCTTCTTCTTCAACTACCGTTCGGACCGTGTTCGTGAGATCACCCAGCTGCTTGGTGACTACGACCGCTCCCCCTCGTCCCGACTTCCCCTACCCCAAGAACATCTCCATCACCACCATGACCCAGTACAAGACCGACTACACCTTCCCCGTTGCTTTCCCTCCTCAGCACATGGGTAACGTCCTTGCCGAGTGGCTGGGCAAGAAGAACCACTCCCAGTGCCACGTTGCCGAGACTGAGAAATACGCCCACGTCACTTTCTTCTTCAACGGTGGTGTTGAGAAGCAGTTCCCTGGCGAGGTCCGCGACATGATTCCCTCGCCCCGTGTGGCCACCTACGATCTTGACCCTAAGATGAGCGCCGCTGCTGTCGGTACTAAGATGGCCGAGCGCATTGGCGAGAACAACTTCGACTTCGTCATGAACAACTTTGCTCCTCCTGACATGGTTGGCCACACTGGTGTGTACGAGGCCGCCATTCAGGGTGTTGCCGCCACCGATAAGGCTATTGGTGAGATCTATGAGGCCTGCAAGAAGCACAACTACATTCTCATGATCACTTCCGATCACGGGTAACTTACATCTCCAACATTCATGTTTTCATAGATAAGGCTAACAAATCCTACTAGTAACGCCGAGGAGATGCTCAACGAGAAAGGTACTCCCAAGACCTCCCACACTCTCAACACGGTTCCCTTCGTTATGGCCAACGCCCCCGCTGGCTGGAGCCTCGCCAAGGAGGGTGGTGTCCTGGGTGATGTCGCCCCTACCGTCCTCGCTGCCATGGGCATTGAGCAGCCTTCTGAGATGACCGGTAAGAGCTTGCTCGTCAAGTCATAATTAGAAGTGATTCGCACATAATTCTTTGGCTACGAAATGAATAAATGAACGATTCAAAGATGTTGATATCTATGCGGTGTTGCGATTTGCCTCGGTCCTGTTCGGTTTTCTTATAAATGTGATAGATGGATCAGCAAAAATTAAGATTGGTCATAGACGTCATATTCTCTCAACTGGGTGACTGCGTAGCCACCTTCTTTTCCAAGCTATACAGAATTTGAATGGGTATATCTTCGTGGCAAGCATCGCCCGTCGTTTTCATCTTCATGCATCGTTGATCCTCGTACCGAATAATCACCTCAAGTGCAGAAACTCTCTTATCGCCTACCAGACTGCACCGCAGCATTAACCGACACCGTCTCCTTCCTTGGTGTGTACCGGGCATACCGAGGCCTTTCAAGTTGCGCTGTGCATAGCAGATCAGGGTTCTAACACTTGCATCAACGTGCTTCACCATCACCCATCGGCATTATCTCCGCCACATTGGGGCTTCTCAAGCTCACGCGGAGGCAGGGGCAGCTTGCTGCTGAGCTTGGGCTTGGATTGCCATGACCTAAAAGGTAATATGTCAGTATGGGTGCACCAATTATTGCGGATTATCATTACCTCGGCGCGCTTCTTCTCACCCAATTCCTGCTTATCTTCGATCTCCTTCTCAATTCGCTTGCTGTCGAGGAAGGGTCAGTGATATATTCCCACCAGCCAAGATCAAGCCACCCACATTTCCTTCTCGATGAACTCCAGGCGGCCATTGACGGCCATGGTGGCTTCGGTCTTATCTTGCTTCAAGAGGACGGGTCCGACGAGCTTGTAGATGTTGGAGTCATCGTCCAACTGGTTGAACTCAGCCTGAACACCCTGGTTCTCTTGCTGCTGCGACTCGAGCTTCTGGCGGGCATCGACAAGACCCTCGAGTTCTAGAATCCCGGAACACAATTAGATACGGAGAATAGTAGAAATAAATAGCAGGCCAAAGCTTACCGGTCTGCAGCTGGTCAAACTCGTCCGAAAGGGACTGAAGCTGTTTCTGGGGGTCCATGGCTTGTGTTGGCGGGGAGGTGGGAGAAGGGAAAACCGATCCAACTTCTGCCCGCGCCCGTCAACACCTCTCCCTTCGCACTACAATTCCATCCTCCACACCCACCGTGCATACCGCGACCTCTTTTTCTTTTTTTTTCTCCTCTCCGAACCTCTTATCCGAGTCGGAGTTGCTCTCGCTTAAGCCGTTGCCTAGCACACTACCCTTAGGCCCCCTCACGCCCTCCCCGCTTTATCACTCCGCGCTTGACTCGCCACTCCGAGACGTGACCAGGCAGGGCCACGCTTGCCAGCATGAGTAATACGGATTTCCTGGGGCGAGCGATTGACACGGTGAAGAAGGCAATCGAGAATGATAATGAGGGCGAGTACGAGAAGGCTTATCAGCTGTACTACTCCGCATTGGAGTTGTTCATGCTGGCCCTCAAGTGGGAGAAGAATCCTCGGTCTAAGGAGATGATTCGCGCTAAAACTGGCGAGTATATGGACCGCGCAGAGAAGCTCAAGAATCATTTGGCCTCGGGGGATCGAAAGAAACCTAGCGCTGTAGGCGCAAACGGCAAGATTGCGCAGGGAAGTGGGAAAGGGTATGACTTTGGCCTATTACAACTTATTTACAACATCCTGCTCCTCTTTTGGACTAACGGTCCGCCGTTAGTCCGTTGGAGCCAGCAAGAAGTTTCAATGATATGATCTGGTACTAACGGAGGTTTACAAACAGGAAAGAAGATGACGACAACGGCAACGGCGAGGATGCCGAGGCGAAGAAGCTCCGATCAGCCCTCCAGGGAGCCATTCTGTCAGACAAGCCGAACGTCAAGTGGGAAGATGTTGCCGGTTTGGAGAACGCCAAGGAAGCCTTGAAGGAGGCAGTCATTCTTCCGATCAAGTTCCCACACCTGTTTACGGGCAAGCGACAACCCTGGAAGGGTATCCTTCTCTACGGCCCCCCGGTACCGGAAAGTCGTATCTCGCCAAGGCCGTTGCGACTGAAGCCAACAGCACGTTCTTCAGTGTCAGCAGTTCTGACTTGGTTTCCAAGTGGATGGGTGAGAGTGAAAGGTAAGAACTTAGGCCTCAATTACTATGTATCATACCTTGAGAACTCTGGGCTGACCCTCGCAGACTTGTTAAGCAACTCTTCAATATGGCCCGTGAAAACAAGCCAGCGATTATCTTCATTGACGAGGTCGATGCCCTGTGTGGACCGCGTGGTGAAGGCGAATCCGAGGCGTCACGCCGTATCAAGACCGAATTGCTTGTCCAAATGGATGGTGTCGGTAAAGACTCTAAGGGTGTCTTGATTCTGGGAGCCACAAACATTCCCTGGCAACTCGACGCTGCCATTCGTCGACGATTCCAACGACGAGTTCACATTAGTTTGCCCGACTTCAATGCACGAATGAAGATGTTCATGCTGGCCGTGGGAGCGACACCGTGCCAGATGACCCAGACAGACTATCGGTCCCTGGCCGAGATGAGCGAGGGTTACTCCGGTAGTGATATCAGTATCGCTGTGCAGGATGCTCTGATGCAGCCCATCCGCAAGATTCAAACAGCAACACATTATAAGAAGGTAAGCCGACTTAAAACCGCTCGTTTATTAAGTGGAATAGATTGCTGACTACATCAACTACAGGTGACCCATGAAGGAACTGAGAAGCTCACTCCGTGCTCGCCCGGCGACGCTGGTGCCACGGAAATGAACTGGCTCGACGTGGAAGCCGAGCAACTCCTCGAGCCACCGCTCGTTCTGAAGGACTTCATCAAAGCCGTCCGTAATTCCCGTCCTACTGTCAGCCACGAAGATCTTACAAGGAACTCGGAATGGACGAAAGAGTTTGGCAGCGAGGGAGCGTAAACGGTTCATGTTTCGATTTTCATTCCTGGTATTCGGTCGGCATAAATCTCATCTTGGCCAAACTCGTGCAATAAATAGACAATGTCTCACCCAAGGTGTTATTGGGTTCTTGGCTCGGCTTCGTGCTTGAGTGGCTACCTGAAGAATCTGGTGTTCAGAAGCGTTGATGATTTCATGTTTGCAGTATTTTGGCAATGGCGAGGCGTTGATTGAGCAAATATCCATGTTTTTACTTATCCCGGCGGACTTTCGTCAAGAGGAAAAGTCGTACATATATATGTACTACCTCGATACTGTATATTTTTGGACCCAATATTGGGAGTAAATCTGGTGTACCCATTTCAATGTTGGACGTAGAGCGGCATCTCCTTGCTTTTCAGGCTGTACATTAACAAGCCGAGGCTTACTGCAATGAATAAATACAAGACAATATCCACAAGGGTCAATTTCTAACAAAACGCTACTCAGAATCATAATCGGATCAGACCGATACCAGGGTGACTATGCTCCAACAATGCCACATCTCTGCAAAAGACAAATCCTTTCACAAACCAATCCAGTTAAACGCCCTGGAAAGAAAACACAACCTCAAAGGAGGAAAGGAAAGAAAGCAGAAGTTGTATACTAGACATGACGGGGAATCTCTCGTGGCAGAAGGGGCGACGCTTGGAAAAGAAGATGTGCAAAGGAATCACAAAACAAGACAGAAAAACAGTAGCCATGTAACCTATTGTCGTTTACCGGGCAAGGGGGCTTTTGGTTGAGCTTTCGCGACGCTTGAGCATCTCGCTCTTAGCTCGTTTTAAGCCTTCACCCAGCTTCTTGGCCCGGGACCATTCCTGGCCCATCTTTTTCATGCGGACAGTGGCCACGACTAGGGAAATAGCAGAGCGGAGCTTGCGGCGTGGACTGCGGACTGGGTCGCGGTCGCGAGATTGAACGCCCATATCAGAAATCATGCGGAGGTCGGCTTCATTACTGTGGGTGGTGGAGCCATGTTAGCTGGATTTTATCGAGTATAGAAGACGGGGGAAAGGGTGGACTAACCATGCAATACGAACGCGTTCACCAAGTTCCATTAGGCCCTTGCTCCATGCCAGGTCACGACGGAACTTCTCTTCGCGGTGCAAGCGGGCACGAAGCCAGATGATTTCCTTGCCGAGACCGCGAATTTCTTTTTCGTGTCGAGTCTTGCTGGATGATTTGCCCGTCGAGACCTTCTCTAGGGCTTCATTGTAGCGTTGTTGTAGGGCTTCCAAATCCTTGGTGGCTGCTTCGGCCTTGCGAACGCAGAACGCTCGCTCTTCACGGATTCGGCGAAGTTGGTTCTTGAGCTCGTTTAACCGCGAATCTCGCTCAGAGACCTTGAGCGCCAGAGACTCAGCCTCAAGGGTCGATGACTTGAGTAACTCATGCAGGTCTTTCTGATCCTCTTCTCTCATAGCAGCTCGTTCAAGGTCACGGTTCTTAACCTTGACTTCTTTGAGAGCTTTGTGCGCATCCGTTAATTGCTTCCGTAGAGTCTTTAGCTCTTCGTGAAGCTTGTTAGATGGGGAGTTTTGCAGAGACTGCGAGTCAAATTTGTTGATGAGAGCGTCGTGAAGGTCTCGCTCCAAATCAGAAACACGGGACTTCAAGGTACGAGTGGAAGCTTTTTGTTCGGCTTCGCGCTGAAGAAGTGTCTTTTCGCGCCTACGAGCCTCTTCCAGGCTCTGGCGAAGAACTGACAGGTCTCCATGGGCGGTTGACTGGTCGTTCTCCAAGGGAGCCTGGTGCTCAAGAAGCATCTCCAGTTCCTGAACGCGCCGCTCAAGCCGTTGAACCTTCGTCCTGGCCGTACTTAACTCGCGGTCCCGATTGCCGGAGCCCACTAGCACCTTGTCCTGGAGACGATCAATCTCAGCCGAAAGGCGACCCTCTTCTGAACTGGCACGTTCGATCTCGGAACCGAGCTGCCTTTCTAGAATTTCCTTGGCCTCCATGAGGGCATCCTTGTCATCTCGCAATCGCTTCGTTTCGCTTTCAAGTCGGGTCGCAGTTCTCCGGAGTTCAACCTTCTCACGATCAAATCGAGTAGTGTCATCGGCAGAATGGCCTCGGTCGAGCTGAGCGTGGAGCTCATCTCGTTCGGCTTCGATCTCGGCCATTGAAGTTCGCAGGTCGTGCAATTCAACGTGAGCATTGGCAAGTTGGTCGCGAAGAGTTTGTCTGTCGGCGATCGCCTTCTGCAATTGATTTTCCACATCAGAAGAGCCCTTCTGCTGTCGGCCCTTTGCGTACTCTTGCTCATCTGCCAAGCTTGATTGCAACACAACAACCTCATCTTCCAGAGCCTGTACCCTCTCCTTCAGGGATTGCTCCTCACGCCGAGAAACACGAAGCTCCTCCCTCACAGTCAGAAGATCAGAGCGCTGCTCATCCAGAGTCCGTCTCTTCTGGGTGAGCTCGTCACCGAGGTCTTTGATTTGGCGATTCAGCACAGCTTCCTCTTGCACGTGGCGCTGCTTCTCGCTATCGATAGCATCTTGAAGCTTGTACTCTTTGCCGGAAAGAGTGTGTTCTGCTTGCTGCAGCATTTCGATCGTTCGCTTGAAGCCTGCAGCTTGTTCTTCTGTGCGCTCCTTTTGAGACTGGAGGGTCCGCTTGGTGCTTTCCCACCTGTCCTGCTCAAGAGCAAAATGTCCTTCTTTATCCTCAATCTCGTGCTGGAGAGCTTCGATTTCGTCCTGCAAACGTTCAATCTCCACCTTGTGTTGCCAGCGAAGGTTTTGATTGTCTTGGGCGCGATTGGTGGCCTCTTCAACAGCTTGCTGGAGCTCACGAATTCGAGACTGCGATCGAGATAACTCGCTTTGCAGGCTGCCGGATTCGTCAGTCAGTGCTTGGTGTCGAGTCTGCAGAAGCTCTTTCTCTTCCGTTCGGCGCTGTATATCGTCGAGGGCTTCCTGAAGTCGAGCAGATATCCTTTCTTGCTCTCTCTGGGCCAAGTCGCGTTCGTGCCGAGCTGATTCGAGATCCTGACCTAATTTGCCAGCATCACTTTTCAGGTCCAGTTGAATAGTTTGATAGCGCTCCTCTAGGCGCGCCACGTAATCCGACTTGGTTTCGGCCTCCGATCTGAGAGCGTCGTTTTCCTGTCGCAAAGCACGAACTTCTTCCTCGAGCCTCTCTGCTCGGTCCTCCATTTGTCGACTTAGACCCTTGGTCATGACAGATTTATTTGACATCTCATCCTGCAATTCACGAAGGTCGTCTTCGGCTCGGTCTTTCTCATCCGTGGCTTGCCGCGCGAACTCGTTCGCTTCCTTGACTTCTGATTTCGATTGTTCGAGACTCTCCTGCAGTTCTTCGACCTGTTCTCTTGCTCGGTCGAGTTCGGCTTGAATTTCAGCAGCTGCATCGCTTTCCTTGCCGTTCTGTCGGAGCTCTTCCAATTCCTCGTCGCGCTCATCGAGAACTCGGTCCTTTTCACGTACTGTGGCCTCGAGATCTTCAACATCATCGCGAAGTTTCTCGACTTCTTGGGATTGACTGTCCTTAAGCAATCTTAATTCTTCACGAAGTTCTCTAAGCTCCTTGTCCCGGGATTCCACCTCTTCGCGCATGATATACATCTCACGTTGTGTTTCTTCGTCGGTTTGTCGTCGTCGGGACTTATCTCTCATTTCCACGAGTTGCAATCGATAATCCTCCAAGTCGCGTTCGGCCTGCAGGAGACTCTTTTTGTATCGGGAGATGTCACGCTGCATAGTCAATCGCAAGACCTTCAGCTCGGTGTTCTCCCTAAGAGCCGCGCTATTGTATTCGGGACCAGCCTTCTCGATTTGCTCCTCTAGGTAGTGAATTTTCAGCTTCAGGTTCCAGTTGTCTTTGTCAAGCCGGTCGATGATCTGCAACAGTCAGAATTTGTTCAAGCCATAGTTCTCTGAAACAGATACATACCCGTTCTTGCTCCTTCAATGTCATGTTCTGTCCATCACCCAAAACTCCGGAACCATTGCGTCCCAATAGGCCGGGCAGTGGCGTACTCTGGGCGCTGCTGCTGGCAACCTGAGGAATTGGCGTCGCTTGATCGGCTGTCGCATCATCTTCATACATATCAGACATGTCGATCGTAGGTAAACCAGGGGTGTAGGCCCCGCCCCGGCCCTCTCGTAGGTAGCCCGGAGTCTTCGGGTCGTCCATCCCTCGAACCGCAGATCCGTTCCTCAGAAAGTTGTTCTTGGTCGCGCTCCTCATGAGTGGCGTAAATTCGCCTTTGGCCGGACCTGCTGCGGGCAGGTGTCTCAATGCGGTTCTTGCTGGCCTCGAGGAAGTCCCGGCACGCGGGGTGCTGGACTTGTAGCTGGCTGAGTCGCGTTTTCTTCCATCTCCAAATCCTTTAATCACATCATTGTCTTTCGAGGGCGTGTGGAAAGAGTTTTCCACGGAGTCGAGGGCGGAAAGGTGAGTTCGTCCCACGCTGCGAAAACCGTTGGTCAGGTAAGTCGCGTTCCCGTCGACTTCGGTGCGCGGCGTGTCGATATAGGGGAACGCCATGGTAATGGGGCCGCGGAAAATTCCGGTTAACACGCGACCATCACTCTGCAAAACGATGGGACTGGGTTGAAACGAGCTGGACGGCGTGTTGTGACGAAGCGCGGGCGAAGCGTCGGCGAGACTGTTGATGTCTAGCCTGATTAGGCTTAGTCCGCGAGTCACGAGTGGGTCGCGAGCTTCGCCGCTTTTTTTCCTTTTTGCGGAATGCCATGAGGTCATGTTGAGCTACAACTAGCTACTCAATCGACTTTAATCATGGCGACTGAAGAGGATATCGCGTGGTTCAAGTCCACTTTCCATCCTATCCCAAAAGCACAGCTCCCCGACGACTCCGTCGAGTACTACGTTTACCACCTGCCCTCCCCCGCCCCCGCCGTTATCGATCAGGCCGTCGAGACTCGTGCGCGATTGCTTGAGGTCCAGCGCACAGCCGCGGAATTGACCAAGGAGTTGCTGAAAGATTATATCTGGCAGCGCGAAAACTTCCGATTGGAGATTACCAAGGATGATGGTGAGAAATTCCGTTTTCAAGATTGATTTCATCCGTGTTCTCCATATCAGGCGCTGATCGCGAAATGCAGGGATCACTTCGCTCCACGGCCGCACCAACTATGGAGACTCCATCGAAGATGAGTGGGTGGTCGTGTACATCCTCCGCGAGTTAACGAAGCGCCACAAAGATATTTGGGTCAAGGTCGGAGACAGTGACGGCGAGTTCCTGCTCGTCGAGGCGGCGGGCACGCTCCCTGCATGGCTGGAACCCGAGGTGGCGGATAACAGGGTGAGCATCAATAAGCTTATCTTTTTAACTGACGAGACTTACACTAACCTGTTGTTATTCAACCAGGTTTGGATTAACCAAGGAGACCTCAAAATCATCAAGCCAAAGAAAGACACAGGAAAAAAGGTCTCAGAAACATTGACCCTGCCAGAAGCACACAAAATCATCCAAGAAGAACCGAACCGCTTCATACGGTCCAGAATAATTCAGGAGGAGGCATTCTATCGACTGCGCAACTATCCCAAGCAAATCTCCGAGAACCTCCACCACGCGATCGTAACACTTCCGCGCAAGGTCGCGCACCTATTACACCGAAAGCCTGCATACATATCGCCTGTCGTGGAAGCCTTCTACATTCGTGATCCTATAGCCATGCGTCCTCTCAAGTCGAAGGATGCATCTGATCTCGTTTTCAAACCCGAAGACTTCGTCACTGTGAGCTTGAAGTTCACACGAGTGGGATACGCCCAATTGAAGAGTCAGGAATTTCCTACACCAAGCACCTGGGAGGGAACATTACCTCCACCTGAAGATCTGAAAGCGTATGCCCGCGCGGAGACAGGCATGAAGGTGTCTTGTGGACTCGAAATGCTACTCTACGATCCCCACCATCAAGACAAGACTTCTGTCAGAGAAATGAAAATTTGGCTTGAGGATATTGACGATGGCGAGGAGCATCTGACCGGGGACTTAGAGATTGAAAGGGATTGGGACAAGCGGGAGGATGACGAAAAATGGTTGGACATCAATTTTGAAGATCTGGACAGGGAGCTCAAAGGAGGCAAGAGCGAAGAAAAGACCGGTGGTGACTTTGGCGACGTAGGCGCTCAACAGAATTTGCAACGGATTGTCGCTCGTTTCGAGGAATTCTTGAACGATAATTCTGCGGGCTTCGACGGCGCAGATTTCATCGATGACTTTGGATCAGACTCTGACGTTGATGATGACGACGAGGACGAACTCAGCAGCGATGGAGAGGACAAAGACGCCTCATTTGATGAAGAGGAGTTCTCACGGATGATGAAAGAAATGATGGGGATGCCTTCTGGACCCGGGAAGCCCTCCTTTAAAGCGCTGGGAAAACGCGTTCAAGAACTCGACGCAGATGAAGAAGATGATACGGAACAGATCAAGGAACTGTCTCGGCAGATGGAGGCTGAATTACGAGGAACCGGAGTTCTCGACCTGAACAGAAAGCAACAGAAGCTGGCTTCTGGGGAGAATGCATCTAAAGGGAAGGCTACCGAACCTAACAACCCAGATGATCAAGAGGATTATGATGAGGATGAAAACTCCAACATTAACCTTGCCAAAAACCTGCTGGAGAGTCTTCATGCCCAGGCAGGTACTGCAGGCCCAGCGGGCAACATGCTCTCCATGATGGGCCTGCGGTTGCCGAAAGATGACCGCCATTGATGACATGATGCCCATGAGTCTGCCATTTCATCTATTTTGCATTTCTAAAATTAGCCATTATCTGCACCGCCACTGCGAAGTCTGCAAAAAACAGAGTGCGGCAGATGTTTTCCATTTCCGAATGATGTCGCCCTATCGATCTTGACCAGAACCATCGAGTTTGGGAGCGCCTAATCAGATGAGGAGACCCTTGCGGGGCTTCCTGCGTCTTTGAAACCCCTCCAATGGTATCATCTCTGCAGCTTTGGGGTTGATGTTTGCAGAGTGGATATAAGACAGTACGAGCCAGCAATTGATATGCAACCAAGGAATGGCTTGTTCCAGGAGGGAATGAATGGAGTTGGCATGACCTATCTGAGTCAAGAGAAGACAAGGAGAAGACAATGCACAACCACCCGCTACTTCATATGCCTTGTTACTTGTTAACGACGAGAAGAACTCTATGAATGCAATTTTTTCTTCCAATTTTAACATCGTTAATTGCGAGTTTAATCGAAAGATAGTCTGTTTCGCTTGCATGTTGTAATAAGAGCCATTAGCACGAGGCACAAAGCGAGATATGCCGTCAGAGTTTGTAGCAGACACGCTTCCAGTAATCCCGACACCATGTCCTCCTCCTCGAGCCATGCTACGAATGCGATCACCAACCTTAACCTCGCATTGATTCTTCCCACTAATATTAACCGTAAGGCCACTCTTTCAAATCCACCCATTCAAACCACGACCTCCATCTACAACGCTAGCCATTCCATATAGACGGAAGACTCTACGCGCTCAGAAACGATACCTGCATGCATATCGATCTGAAAATCCAGCTCGCGCGCGACGCCGTCGCCTGCAAGGTACATACGCTTACCACCACTGTCGCGGCGTAGACTATACTCTCAGAGAATTATGGGGTACCGTCACTCCACGGTCTCAGTATCGGTAGTCCGTGTGTTTATCATGTGGCAGTGCACACCATCTACGCCTTGTCATGAGGGTCCTGCTGCACTTCCTCCGGTGATGGTCTCGTAATATCCGAACTCTTTGTGGGAAGTCCAAATGTGGAAGTTGCCGTTTTACTGCAAAGGCCATGCTTTATGGCACAACTAAAATTGAGACACTTTTGATGTTGGTGCTGACCCTTTTTTTTTGCCGCGCTCGCCCCATCTGCTCAGCGATACCATGGACCGATTGACGAAGACTGACATGCAGATTGAATCCACAGTGATGTGGCCTTTCGGGGTAGCAGATGACTGAAGATCAATGAGTAGCATGGAGGAAAGCACGCTGACTTCTGTACCTGGAGGATTCACAATTGTTGGGGTCTTGTCAAGGACATCGGTCACCCGGCCCCTTGAATCTAATCCTTAGGTCGACCTTTGCTTGCTTCTCTCATCTGAAGCTTATATTGCGCCAGGGCCGTCTGTCCTACGGATTTTATGGAATGTTAGAGATTGACATCAATGGCCAATGGGTTAAAGGTTGAGGCTTCAAAGGTCGGCGCTAATTATTGTCGCATTGTTACTGTCATTGTCACTACTATACCTTCCAACCTCTTCTCTCTAATGTTCGTACCAATATTTATGCCACCGACAAGCTCCGCTAGTCTTAATATTAATATTTACTGAAAGGATTGCGATAAACGCATAGCTCTCTAGTACGCTATGAAAGCTAACGACGAAGAGTTAGTGCGAAAATTTTCTAAGATATAGGACTAGTGAGTTTATTTCATTTAACTCAAGCGGAGTGACCTCTCGCACATGCGACTAAGAAAGGTAACTTTTTGTCAGTCAAGCTCCTTTTGCAGAAACCGAGCGGACATTTTAACATATCCATTAGCAGCGGTACACGCTAAGTGAGTGCTATGTCGAACCCTTAGAGGCCAGACAACTAACCGATGTACAGTAGCTTGCAAAATCGCCCTGCGCTTTTGCGTTCGCTTTTTGTTTCTCGACCGCCAATGCCAAGCTAGATCTAACTGCATACGGTTAGCTTTGGTTCTATTCTTAGCTCTGTATATTGCATAGTATTGTCACAAACTGTATTGTAATTAGTTACAAGCTTAGCTCTCTTCCGGCTAAGTCGATTTTATTTCCAGTAGGTGCCACCGTGAAGTATACATATCGGGAAGAAGTCAGGATTCGGTGAAGCTACATACGTAAAGTAAAATTGTTCGAGAAAGAGTAGTCAGACTAAGTCCAACATGAGTGGAAGATGATGAAGATATTTCACGGTGATCCTCCTTCGATCGACTGCTTCATGTCTTGGAGAGTGCGCTGAGACGCCAGTCGATCTGGATGCTCTTCATCAAGCGTTCTCTCTTCTACCGCGACGACATGCTCAAGAAGCTCCACAGCCTGTTTGATTTGCCCGTTGAATTGATATGCCCTTGCGAGTTCGTGTTGAGACGCCAGTCGAGAGGGATGCTCTTCATCAAGCGTTCTCTCTTTTACCGCGACGACATGCTCAAGAAGCTCCACAGCCTGTTTGATTTGCCCGTTGGATTGATACACCCTTGCGAGTTCGTGTTGAGACGCCAGTCGAGAGGGATGCTCTTCATCAAGCGTTTTCTCTTCTACCGCGACGACATGCTCAAGAAGCTCCACAGCCTGTTTGATTTGCCCGTTGAATTGATATGCCCTTGCGAGTACGTGTTGAGACGCCAGTCGATCTGGATGCTCTTCATCAAGCGTTCTCTCTTTTACCGCGACGACATGCTCAAGAAGCTCCACAGCCTGTTTGATTTGCCCGTTGAATTGATATGCCCTTGCGAGTACGTGTTGAGACGCCAGTCGATCTGGATGCTCTTCATCAAGCGTTCTCTCTTTTACCGCGACGATATGCTCAAGAAGCTCCACAGCCTGTTTGATTTGCCTGTTGGATTGATACACCCTTGCGAGTTCGTGTTGAGACGCCAGTCGATCTGGATGCTCTTCATCAAGCGTTCTCTCTCGCACCGCGACGACATGCTCAAGAAGCTCCACAGCCTGTTTGGTTTGCCCGTTGGATTGATATGCCCCTGCGAGTTCGTGTTGAGACGCCAGTCGAGAGGGATGCTCTTCATCAAGCGTTCTCTCTTCTACCGCGACGACATGCTCAAGAAGCTCCACAGCCTGTTTGATTTGCCCGTTGAATTGATATGCCCTTGCGAGTTCGTGTTGAGACGCCAGTCGAGAGGGATGCTCTTCATCACAATTGCTTTCATTCCATACACACACATCTTGGAAAAAGGTGACGGATTCTTTCGCTCGTCCATCAGCTAGAACACAATCTCCAACCTTAGAAAGTAGGCTGTATCTCTCACTCAAATCTTTACTTTCCTCTCTCTTAAGAATTTCAAGGGCATGTGGTAAGTATTCTCTCCATGTCCCACGATTCGTGTATTCATCTGATGGAAAACACTCCTCAATATGTTGCGTCGCAGTCGCGATAACCTGTTGTGTCTTCTGTGCCCCTTCAATCCACACTCGTGTTGATAGCTGTACGAGGCTATGCATATCAAAGATATCCCCTTTGTCTCTCCTGCTCAGAAATCCATAGCCACATAGTGTGCCAATTGAAAAGTCCATCTCCTCTTCTGAAGTGAGCGTAGGAAGAATAGACCGTGGGATTGCCTTTGGCTCAAGGAAAGACATAAATTCCAACAACTCAGCAGCAGAGGGATCAGAGCTCTTCACCTGATTAAAAGAGATAAACCACGTGGCAGTCACCGCGTTTGGCATTTTTCGGTAGCGAGTTTTATCACGAAAGTCCCTACTCGCTAGACGCATCCGGTCTTCTTCGGTTTTATGCATAAGCTCGAGATAACGTGTGGTTGTTCCATCATTCCGGGAAATATAGTAAGCGGCCTGTGCGATAGCTAGAGGTAGTAAGTTCAGCTCCTCCAGTAATCGCATGGCGGATTCTTGGCCACATAATGAATCTTCTCCGATAATCTTCGTGAGAAAAGCAATCCCTTCCTCTGTGGTCATCTTTTGGAGCTCAATGATATCATTTCTTGCGAAAGACACCGCCACCTCGCGAGAACGAGTAGTGAGCAAAGTTACACCTTTATTGCTCGAAGGGAAATATTGATCAAGCTCATCGCAAACTAAGCCTATTTCATCGGCGTTATCGATAACCAAAAGCCACTTTCCGGCTTTATCAGAGTTGAGATGTCCCTGTACTAATTCCATAACATTTTCATCGCTTGCGTTTTGATGGATCTGGAGCTCGTTCGCAATTTGCCAATAAACTTGTTTGAAACTTTCGAGGCTAAGAGCAGGAGCCCAAAAGATCGAGCAGTCTGATATATACTCCTTCACCCACAGGGCAAGCTGAAGCGCAACTTGGGTTTTGCCGATGCCACCTAGTCCGAACAAGGCTAATTTTTCGGTATTGGCTTGGATAAAAAGCTTCTGTTTGAGCTCCTCTAACATGGATTCACGGCCGGTGAAGTACCGATTTTCCAAGAAAGGCATTATATAGTGGGGTTGAGATCGATTCCCTTGTAAATAATCAGTGAGCCTGACCGCTGTTTTTGGGTTCCCTATTGACTTACAGGGCCTGGTGTTTGTCTCATTTATCCCTCCTACAGGTGAGTGGAAGTTCAAAGTAACCGGGCCATGGCTCACGCCTATCTGGGCCCCTAAATTTGAATGCCCAAATGATGCTGAGAACGCCATATTTGTGAAGGGTCTTGGTCTCTTTCGGGGGGAAGTAGCTCGCCAGCGTCAGGCGCCGCTGCTGTGGCCGGGATGGCAAGGGTGATAGGACAGAAAGGTCTAAATCACTTGGTATAGAAGTATTTGAAGGCCAAGAAGTTAGCCTTTCATCAGAATCGGGAGAGGGCGATAAGGAGTGATTGCGGCGGAAGCACCTCTGGTTAGCCTAAGGCATCCGAGTTGAAGAGGGGTACTCCCTAAGCGCCCGCCCCCATCAGCGAACAAGGCATTTCAGCCAGTCATTACGCACAACGATTGCGGACTGCATAAAGGGTGTCGCATCATTGGTCACTGAGTTATGATCACGCAGCAGCAGAACTAACCAAGTAGCCTTGAATGCAGGACACGAGGTGCTAAATTCTCAAACTTCCTATCTCTAACGACGATATTAGGTGGCATCTTACGTGAATCTAAATGCATAGTCCTATTGTTATGCTAAATAGCAGATGTACTTCCACCCGACTGAAGACTTTTGGGGAAAGAAGAGTTAAAACAAGTACATAGGAAGACAGGGAAACAGAGAAACATCTATTGGTGCTGCCAGAGTAAATGATGAGCTGCAACAATGCACGGAAATATATATATTAGTTCTATACAGTACAACGTGTACAGTACGACATAGTTTAATCAACAGTTACAATTGTCAGACCTACATAGCGAAAATGGCCTTCAGCACTTCCTTCTCTTACGCCAACCACATCCACACACCACTCCAGAAATTCCTGGAAATCTCCATCCGGGTCATCCCCAAACGACTGCCAGTTCCGTTTGATAAAAGCTTTTAGCTCTGCGAAAAACTCTTCGATCGGATTCAAATCAGGAGAATACGGTGGAAGATACACGAGCTTAACCCCTGCTTCAGAGCACATTCGATGTATCCGCTCAGAATGGTGGAAGGATGCATCATCCATCACTAATACCGATTTAGGCTCCGGCCATCTACCACAATAATGAAGAAGCTATTCAATAAAGTCTTCGAATATCAGACCATCAGTCGAGCCACAGAAGACGCGGGAAAGAAGAGCACCATCTTGGCAATATGCCGGCAAGATCTGGTATCGCTGACCACGATGGAACTTGGCCACTTGAACCGGTGTGACCTCGAGCGGGGCCCAACCTGTTCGCCGATACCCTATCCGCTTGTCACATCCAGATTCATCTATGTAGACCGGGTGATACGACTCAAATTCCGATAGATTATGGAGGTAATAGTCTCGTAAATCCGCGTTCCGCTCCTTCGCTTGATTCTGGGTTGTCTTCTTCGATCAGCCTTTCGCGGCCAGAGCCCGACTGATAGTGGAGTTGGCGACGCAAACATCAAACTCCTCCCGAAGGAAGATCGCCATCTCGTCGAGGTATAATCCAGGATTTTCGGAAAGGTGTCCACAGAGAGCCTCAACGATAAGTGGAGTGATACTTTTGGGTCGGCCGGAGGAAATTGGGGGCGCCTTGGGACTGCCGAACAACCGCAGGTTGGAACGAATATATCGAACAGATTGTTTACTGCATCCTGCTGTATTAGCGATATCAGTAGTTCTTAGGTTGCTCTCGATCATATCACAAATCAGCTGCCGCTTCAATGGGGATAAGTTTGGAGCCATTTTTGTATAATCGATGGGTAGTAAGGAGTGGAAAGAGCAGGAGCAACAGAAAACGAGGGGTACCCGCGGTTGCATACGTGTTGTTCATCGTCTCGTTCCTTACCATACCATTTCAAAATGTTCTAGCCAGGGGTCCGTCTGAGTCTAACTGATTATGGCGAAGTTGGTCTTGGCAAGTGGGGTTGGGAAAGAAGGAGAGTGTGTAAAAGCGCAAGGCGATTTTGCAAGCTACTGTAGTAGTAGTCATCTCCGGTCTCTTTAAATTCGACAGTCTACAGTGCCGGACTCCGTAAATCATCCTCTCAGCGATCATCAACGCTACTACCCAATCCAACCGGTCTAACAAAAGCAAATACATCCCACCACCAGGACTTCGGGACGCACTGAACACACTGCAGTGCCTTACAGGTCGAGTTAATCACTTACGCTAAAAGCGGCTACGAAGAAGTGGCCCAAACCTGGACATACCTACATATCCATCTTCCTGCGGCAGCTGCAGCACGCAATACAACCCGAGGGGGCAAATGACCGATCTCCAGAAATCGCCACGGCAATCATGGCACTCGTGGGCCAAGTCAGCTAGCGATCACCATTTCGACGCCACCGGCCTCGGGGTGCTTCTCGACACCGAGTTGCTGGATGAGCTTGCGCATCTCTGAAATGGGGCAGTGGATCAGTCAGGGAGATGATTTCCCGATGGCAATGGGTATGGGGCTGGTTCCACTGATGGGCATTAATTGTACCCTCTTTACAGGAATCTGAAAATGGAGAATTGGAGAATCGGAGCTGACGGATAGTGATATGGACGATTTTACGGAGTTCCGGAGGAGCTTGTTGGATTTGTAATGGGACTTTTGTATAGCGACACTATTGCTGAAATGAGGATGTGGCTGGATGTCTTAGTGTCACTGTGACAGTGCAAGTAAGTGAATCCACGAGAGTGGAGACTCGGTGTGCCTACAACAGCAGGTCACGGAGAACTGAGTTGCCTGTCTCCACCGAGGGGCACCATACTCACGCTTTCGAGCCGATCGGGAAATTTAGAGAGATGTGAGGAATGTGCAGCTCAGAGATCATTAGCAATTGAGTAGATAGCGCCATGTGCGTATTATCTTAGTAATTCATCTTAATCTTAATCTTATTATATCTTGATCTCTGCGAAGCGCCACGTGAGAGTTAATCCTGACGATCGTACAGTCTAAGGCAGCCTAATGTAGCCTAAGGCAGAATGATCTGGAAAAGATCTAGACTAAGAGCCTTCCTGATCTACCTGCAGAGCAGCAACCGAGGCACAAGCCCTACGAGACTAAAAAAGCCACCTCTTCACCTACTTAGGCAGGCACTAACATGGTCGCAAGCGAGTTGCCTCGAACGTGTCCCCATGCGCACATGAACGCCTATTAATAATATGGACATGGCCGGGCCCATAGAGAGACCTCCCAAGCCGTTAAGCTGTCGTGTGCCATTGTCTAGTGGCGGGAAAATTTCCACAAGGGTTCCATAAGAATAGTTAGTGCGGGCGGGGCCCTAGAGAATTTTGGGCCGGGAATCATCATAGTGGATTCCGGACGAGGCCTTCATACTGCTCTTCCATGGGCCCTATTGGCCCAACCCTTGTTTTGTTTTTGTTATGGCTCTTTAAATGCCTCACTGGTAGATGGAGGGGCCAGTGAAAGTAAAACCGGAGGGCAGTGGACGGAAGAGCGATATTCCCCTACCTTGGAAATGGATATGCACGTCGTATAAAAGTCCCGTGAGGGGAAGAGGGTTGGGAGGTAGGGATTATAATCAATCTAGACATTTGCTCTGGTGCATTAGTTCGGGTAATGAATCATGTCGGGAGCTTCATTCGTTTTGGCTTTCTAAAGCGTGTAAAAAAAGGCGTGGGATAAGTTGCCGAACAATCATAATCAACGGAGATTAACTCCGACCCGGTTGAATCGCTCGATGGAGGAACGGAAGCGACTATCGAGGAGCAAAGTCATGACGACGAGGCGCGGGGAGTTAGAATACGAGGGGGGGGTAAGCAATACAATTCCCAAGTGCAAGTCGACATCCCTGTCGTTAACCCTTTCGAAACGCCCTAACGATGTGAGCGATTCGAAATTTCCGCGATTTCCGCACCGCTGGGACTTCTGGAAGGAGATCGGCCAGATCGCCCTGGAACCGAGGGATTGGCGAGAAAAAGCAAAAAGGATCTCCCCAAAATGTACCATCTCCATATGGATCCATGTAGGGTGTTTGGGGACCTATAGAGGTCGGGACCAATGTAATTCTTAAAAAAACATCCGCGCAACGGCGGCAAATCGGAGGCCCAGGAATACGCCTTTTGGTACCGGAGGTTGTCCCCAGATTATCCCCCGACGCGTCCCGTCTTGCAACGCTAGCCGGATTACGGATTACGGATTGCGGATTACGGGTTACAAGTTACAGGCGACCGGCGACAGGCTACAGGCTACAGGCTACAAGTTACAGGTTACAGATGGCGGATGACGGTCTGGCGGTGTGATGGACAGGGTAGAAAGAAGCAAATCTATCTTCACGGGAAGACGATAGAGGTCAGCCCCCTTGGGGACATGTCCAGCTGATAGATCAATAATGGCGATGAGGCTAGCAAGTCCTAGGATGTCCGGAGTACAGGAAACGACCCTCTACCCTTAGTGAAACTGACTACCGGGACAAATCCCGACACCCGCATTCCCACCTCCTGTTTGCAGCCACCCCACTTACAGTCGGCTTCCACCGATGCGGACTAGCCCTTGGGCCACTAGGGACTTCATTGTCGGGCCGACTATAACTTCTCACATGCTGATCAGGGGGAAGAGAACAAAGAAAGTAAGGAGAGATTGAAAGAATGTGAGATATAGAGATAAGAGAGAAGAGAAGGAAAAAAACACAACGGACGTATATAAACGACACAATACATGGCCGCGAAGTAATTGGAGCAGCCTCAGTGGACTGAGTGGAGTTATTCGATTCTTCCATCGGGCTTCCATCGCCTCAGAGGTTGGACCCAGATCCACTCCGGTGGTCGACCGAAGCCGGGAGAGATGTAACTTTGGGCCGTGGCAAAAGCCCCTTCTTATCCCTTCTGTCTCTACTTTATAGTCTCTTTCCCTTCCTCCTCCGGCAACCTGGTCTGTGGAGCCCAGGCGCATACCAGTCCTTGCCAATCATGGTACTTCGTCATGGACTAAACTGACTGCCCCATGGATTTCATTGTACGTTTGGCCTCACTGGCACCGGGACAGCGCACGCCTCGAACTCAACTAACTCTTTCCGCAGCTCTCTCTCACGCACTTCTGCGAGGTGCATGGCCCCACGTCCATCCTCTGCTCGCAGGTCCTCCCATTCGCATGTACGCAATGTCACCCCGAACATGACGCTTCCTCGCCCCGCGATCCCTCCAAATCACCTTCTCTCTCCGAGGCCGGCAGCTCGAAGTCTCCCAAGATCGAAGATCACCCGTATTTCCTGCGCCCGCAAGTGTCTTCGCCTGAAGACCGATCCGACCGATCCAGCCGCGTCGGCGGAACAGACGGCGATTCCTGCGCCAGCTGTAGCCTGTCTCTCCCCGAAGATGTGAGCAAGCAGCTCCCCTCCGGTGCTCCTGGAAGCCGCGACGCAAAGGGCAACAACGGAAGCCCGGTGTTACGCTCACGCGAGGTCGTCTATTCCTGTGGAAACAGTCACTCCGACGACGATTACACCCCAGATCCCCATTCCCACGCCTCCCCTCCTGATTCACTACACTCATCATCGGTCGCATCTGACGCATCATGTCACACACACATCCTGACCTACCTTTCACTTCGTGGTCCACCGAATCCCGCGGACTACGCCCTTCTCCGCCGCTCCTCAATTCGCACTCTGAGCTGCGAGCTGCTACCCCGCGGACTATCTTCCGGGCCATTGTGCTTCGGTGACTCCGTTGCGGGCTACACTATTGCATACATCTTCCGTCTTCCCGATCCGATGGCACGCGGAAAGCGACGCAGTTACGCCCTAGTGGCACTCGCCGGAAAAGACGCAGGAAGAGCGTTTCGGGCGTGTCCTGTGATCTGGCGCGCATTCGGCCGCATCGCATCCAGTATTGTGAACGCGGCCGAGCGCTTCCAAGAGGAAGAGAAGCGCCGCGAAGAACAGACCAATCCTGGAAACACTGCGCACCATCGACAATACACGCCGGTTTCTTCCTTCCTTACGGGTCGTGCCATGGACCCGACCGGACAGCCGCGGCGCCTCGGTCAAATCCGGGCCCGCAACTTGGCTGAGATTGTCGGCAACGAATACATCTTTGCCGAACTTCACGCGCACTTTGTCGCTCTCCTGCAGCAACTCGGTAACATGTTCGGAGGGGTACCTATCTCCGATGAACGCTTTGTTTGCAGCACAATGGGTGACGACGAGAGCACTTCTCCCCAACCGATGTTTGTCTCGAAGAAGCGCCAGTCTGTTTCGAAGCACGATGGTAACGAGCTCGACATGGCCAATCTCGACATCTCCCCCGGCCCGAAACCCATCCCTATCAAGACTCGTCGGTCTGTCGTGGCCTAGACATCTACCACTTCCTTTTACGCTCTCCCCATTTCCACCTTTTTGAGATACCCGCGCGATTTGTTTCTCCGATTCGATTTCTTTCTTCCATCTACTTTTGTTCTGCGGCTCTGCGAGAGGCTTCGACCTCGACGTCTGATTCCAAGCCGCTGTTTCTTTATTTGCTTTCTAGCGATATTGCCCTCCATGGCCTCCGGATTCTGCATATCAAGCTGGCTTTTCCGTTTCTGCAAGATGGGTTACTGGGCATAGACTGGCGTCTTACATACACGGACACGGAGTTTTATTTTGGGTCTTGTTATTCCTTCTGGTTTGTTTTGTTTCTCTCGGGCATCGTGCTTTCGTTCTTTCTCAGGATACCAGTTATTACATGCTTGCTGGCTTATGACGGGGATATGATGGCGACGAGATCCCAGAGACATGTATTCTATGTACCATTCCAACACGATTTAATGACAGTCACTTTGACTGATGTTCCTTTAATTTGTTACCTCCTAACTAGAAGTTGATCTCTTTCGTACCTCATGTTTAGATGGCCAACATGTTCTATACGGCCCTAGTATGCCGAGGTATAGCGCAGCGAACAGTGGCTCTGTTATGATGCTTCTTATTGGGCCTCCCTAAACTTGACTTTATTCAAACCAGGCTCATATGGTCTCTTTTCAGGCCACTATGAGTCAATAATCGCAGTAAAAAGAGAGTGACTGGGTCTAGAAAGTATATAGCTGGATAGTGCTACTCCGGAAAAACTCTCCCCGTCGGGTTCTTCCGCACCCGGGCCACAATCAAAAATCCCACCAAAAAGACGTCCAACAAAGACCCGCCCTCATCACCCCTCAAACAACAGCCAAGATGGTCGCCTTCGACAAGTGTGAAACCCGGCCGCCTCATATCGATGTCATCCTCAATGGCCTCGACCGCTACAACCCCGAGACTACCACCGTCTTCCAGGACTACGTGGCACAGCAGTGCGAGGACCGGACATTCGACTGCTACGCCAACCTGGCCTTGTTGAAGCTGTGAGTGCACTCCTGTCTATTACACAGACACACATTTCTGTTTCTATGATGAAATATCTTTTTCATACACGTTTCCTATTACCTGACAACCCGTCATGAATGGGGTTGTTGAGAATTTCAATACCTGAACACAATTGCAATGCCATTGCATTCAATTACTCAGAGGCTTTTCAGCTTTCTTCACAGAGCAGACATTTTCAAGCTGCATGCTAACACCTCAACCCCTCTACAATAGCTACCAGTTCAACCCCCACCTCCTCCAGGCCGACACCGTCACCAATGTCCTGACCAAGGCCCTGACCGTGTTCCCCTCTCCCGCCTTCTCTCTCTGCCTCGCCCTGCTCCCCGCCCACAGCCAGCCCTTCCCCAAGGCCAACGCCCAGGCGGTCTCCCAGAACAACGACTTCGTCGAGTCTGTGCAGAAGCTCTCCCAACTCTCCACCCTCCTCGAGTCCGCGCAATACACCCAGTTCTGGTCCACCCTCAACTCGGATGACCTGTACGCCGACCTGACCGCCGACGTCGCCGGCTTCGAGGAGCTCATCCGTATCCGCATCGCCATCGAGGTTGGCAAGGCCTTCCGTACCGTCTCCGCCGAGACTCTCGAAGCCTGGTTGGACGTGCGCAGCCGCGACGCACTCGAGAAGTTCGTCGCCGATGTCTGCGGCTGGAAGGTCGAGAACGGTGTCGTCTGCGTGCCCACCAACAAGGAGAACGAGGCCCGCAGCGAAGTCAAGAGCGAGCGCGTCGGTGTCGACATGTTCGGTCGTGTCATCCGTCGTGGCTTCGAGCTGCCCCTATAAATGGCTTTGACTTTGACTTCGACTACTGCCAAAAACCTTCTTCTTTATTTCTTGTTTTTTCTTATTCTCCGTCCCTTTTCTCGAAAGAGCGGGTAAAAAAGACATGAGTTCATGAATCCCCAATCCGTGACGACGGTGATAGATTTCGCATGGAGAGGCTCGGAGATGAGTCGGGATCTGGCGCATCCGGCGTTTCTTTTTCCGATTTATGCCTTTTGTATTGGAATCTTGTGTTTTGATTCTTCTGAAATGAGCGGATGATGACATCTGGAGAGAGACGCCTTGTTCATACCACCATATCTATGCAGAGCCCATTGGCTCACAATAAAAACATATAGCTATTCCAAACCTACACTGGAGACTTGTAGATGTAGGCGAACCGATTGAAGTGGCATATGTGCATTCGTCAATTGAGATCTATTTTTTTTTATGCTCCGACACCTCCCTCAAACTGGGTATAATCAAGTACTTGAATCTCTTTACTTCAAATCTTCCCACTGCACTCCAGCCCACTCCTCGCGCCAGCCAACCTGACCAATCGTCTCGGGTCCACAATCCTTGCTGCAAACACCAAGAATAATAGTACCCCATTCCATACCGGCGTCGCCCTCACCAAGGCCAACGCCCGGGCGTCCCTCCTCCAACACACTAATAGCATGCGGCGCAAGCTGCATTTCAAACACGCGCGGACTGCCACAGTAATCACAAGGCGGCAAGTTCCCACCACCTGTGGTGGTCACATGGCCAGCAGAGTGCTCAGTATGCAAGCGCTTACCAACCTGGTCTGCGTAGTTGTAAAGCAGTGGCGTACCGCGGTATTCATAGCGCAGCACTTGTTCCGGGTTATGCTCAAGGCGCATAGAGAACTTCATAAAAGCCCTGTCGAGCTCCGACTCAAAGGTATCCTTCAGCTCAGCGGTGCCGCTGCTCTGGCCTTCCTCGTCCATAGGCTCCATAGTCACGTTATCGGGTATCTTAGGTGTAGACGGGCGAGACATAGTCTCGTACTCGGCGTCCAGGAAGAAATTGGTATAAGGAGCGGGGAACTCAGACTGTGCGGGCCAGGGAGTCTGAGCCTGGGATTCGGGCTTGGGTTTGGTGGCAGCAGAGGGATTCGTAGGGCCTGGAGACGAAAGCCGGACTTTGTCAGCGAATGATTCGGCCAGGACATTGATTGAGGGCGTGGACGGGGCGGGGGCGGGGACGGGGGTCGTCGTTGCGGGCTTGGGCGTCGCGAACGGATTGGCAGCAGACGCCGCTGAGCCCTGGTTCGACGAGAAGGGATTGGAGAATGGGTTCGCGCTTGCAGATACACTGCTCGTCAACGACGTAGCGCCGAATAGACTCGCGCCCAGATCTGTCCTGGGCTTGGGGGGTGCGCTTGGCTTCGGCTCCACCTTCTTCTCCTCCTTCACTGGCTTACATTGTTCCTGGATGCTCTCCCAAGTGACCTTGCGGATTGAGCGGTAGGCGCGGACGCTGCCTGGTTTGCGGTTGCAGGGCTTTCTAGGGCATCCGAAGATGTAAAGACGGCGCTCGTCGGTGGGGAAGTGGTCGGGCAAGTCGCCGTGCAATTCGAGGAGTAGGATCATCGGGCTATTGCAGACTTTGCAGTTTGCATAGTCGCCCGGAGGCGGGGTCTTGTCATCGAGCCATTTCTGTAGAGGTATTGTCAGTGCGATGGTCTCGCCTTGAATGTGGGATCGTGCATACCGGCCAGCCGCCCAGGTGGCTGATGGTGTCCTCGACGACTTCCTCGGCAGCGTAGCCGAGTAGCACACCGGTTTCGGTAAAGTCTTCGTCGACACTGGAGTCGCTGTCGTAGGGGTCCATCGTGTGTTCAAGTGTGTTCAAGTGTAAAAGAGACCCCTCTCAAAAAATTGTTGCGATAAGCGATACGCGCGCCCCACTTGTGTTCTGGTATTCTGGTATTACCCGTCATCCTTCCCCCAACCTCACATCTCAACTTCATTCTGTGGTATAGTTGCCATTATGTCCGTGTCTGCAGGCAGGCCGATCAATGTGTGGCTTCTTTACATTCTTGCCTTCCTCTTGCCTTTCAGCGATGCGGCTCAGCAGCAGCCTTTGCGGACAAGTACAGCTCCCAAACGGGTGGCCGTCATCGGTAAGCCGTTCCGCTCTCCATGGGTCCATATGGCCCGCCGAATTAAGTACACAACAGCCATTGCAGAGCTAATCTAGCCTGCAGGAGCCGGAGCAGGAGGCTCGTTTGCAGCATTTGAACTACGCAAATTAGCAGACAAGGCAGACATCCCTGTCGACATCACTGTATTCGAGCGGGCCTCATATGTAGGCGGACGCTCGACAACAGTCAACGTGTTCGATCACCCAGCATACCCAATAGAATTGGGAGCTTCAATCTTCGTCGAGGTCAATCACAACCTGGTGAATGCGTCGCGTGATCTCGGTCTTCACGTCCGCAGTGCAGATCACGGGCGACCTCAGGAAACCGATGACTCCATTGGTATCTGGAACGGAAAGGAGTTTGTCTTTACTCTAAAGAATAGCTCCAGCTGGTGGAATATTGGTCGTCTTTTCTGGAGATATGGAATGGCTCCACTGCGTGCTCAAAATCTGATGAAGAGCATCGTTGGCAAGTTCCTGCGTTTGTATGAAGAGCCAATTTTTCCATTTCGCTCACTTTCCGAGGCTACATTGGCATTGGGTTTGATCAATGCTACTTCTTCCTCTGGGAGTGCATTCCTCGGTGCGAATCAGGTGTCTGAACTCTTTTCCCGAGAAATTATTCAAGCAAGCACGCGGGTGAACTATGGTCAAAACTTAGGATTGATTCATGGCTTGGAATCTATGGTTTGCTTGGCTACGGATGGCGCGGTTTCGATTGATGGTGGGAACTGGTTGATATTTGCTGGTGTTCTCAACGCCTCTGGGGCCGATGTGAGGTTGAATACCACCGTGACCGCGGTGACAAGGGACGGCGATGGCACAGTGCGCATTAATTCACACCAGAGTGGCGACGTTGACTCGGAGCATTCTTCATCAGAGGATGAGTTTGATGAAGTCATCGTTGCTGGTCCTTTGCAGTACTCTGGAATATCTGTCTCTCCGCCCTTAGAGCACATCCCGGATGACATTCCATACGTGAAACTGCACGTCACCCTTCTCTCTTCTCCCCACCGCATTTCGCCACATTATTTCGGCCTCACCAGCCAGGGTGCCCGAGCTCCAGAGACCATTCTGACCACCCTTCCCGAGGGTCTTGATCTCGGGTCGAATCCAAAGGGCGTTGGACCCGCTGAGTTTTGGAGTATTAGCACCCTCCGCACAGTGGACCGACTCGTCATGAAAGACGGGAAGGAGAAGATGGAGCAACACTACGTGTACAAAATCTTCTCACCAGAACGGCCAACAGCTGAGTTCGTGGCCCAAATCTTTGATATTGAATATACCAATGGCGACGGGTCCGTGACAGTCGCCGAGGGCAACACTACCATTGGAGACTTATCCAAGAACGATATTAGCTGGTTCCATGAGAGGCTCTGGCACCCATACCCCCTCCTGTATCCACGGGTGACTTTTGAGGAGATACTCCTGGCACCGGGTATTTGGTACACCAGCGGGATTGAAAGCTTCATCTCGACCATGGAGACCAGTGCCTTGATGGGCCGAAATGTGGCAGCGCTTATGGTTCAGTCGTGGGAGCAGAGTGAGTCGAAAGAGAGTGCATCTTGGGACGCGAAAACTGAACTTTAGCTTTCTTTGTGAATGTCTCTATGCGTTTCCAGATTTAGCCTCTCGGATCGAGGATAATACTATTTCCTACTTTACTATACGTATTCTATGATCCTCCTCAAGGGTTCATCCAAAGGAAAGGGCTAGGCCATACATATTCACAGACTGAACGAAGTGGAGAAATAATCCGGACCCTCCCGAGGCAGCGGTTTACAAATGAGCGGGTTCTAGAATATCTGACGATCGGTTCCACTCTGGTGGAGATCGAGACCCTGCCAGTGTATAAGCAAAATTGGACCCTTTCCATGGAATACATCTTCACTGAGATAAAATCTTCCCCAATCGATTCCAATAACCATCAGATCAAGTTGACCTTTTCCAGATCATTTGCCAAAATCATTTGGCCGACTTCGGCAGTTGCTGTATAAGCTAGGGGTGGCAAATCCCGAGATTACTCAAACGACCACTCGAGGCCGCCATGCTACCATCAACCTTCACAGCGTCTTAGAAAGCAAGACCAGGTATTTAAAGGCTGGCTCAGGAATGCAGTGATTGTTCATTATTGAGCAACCCCCATTCACTTGAATTTCCTTCACTGAGAAAGTCTTGAACCTCTTGGAGATATCATTTCTACAATCGTCCACTGCATCGCCTCAACATGCCTCGTATGATGCGCAACGTCTCGCGCCGTATCCGCGCCACTTGGCATGCATACCAACAGCGTATGGCAGCCAACGCCGAGTTCTGGGATGAACCCAGCCTCAGCCGAAGCATCACCGAGGGGACCATCTAAGCCGAGTGATCGCCGAGGGGGTCAGGACCGAGCGAACACCGAGCCTCCCTAGCGCCAGGAAAATGCAAAGCGGATCCCGTCAGGCCTTAAACTAGTGGAATAGTTTGGGTCAGGACCGTTTCCATCCGATGGGCGCCTGCAAAGCTTGCTTTAGATCGGGTTCATCAGGAGTCTCGGTCCTCCACCGAGCTGCATTCCATGGCCCAGCTAGGTACACCTACCGACTTGGGCAATCGCCGCACCATAAGAATTCCGTCACTCAAAATTAATGACTCCTTCCGTCCCGTCTGGGCCCTGGTCGTTGGATATTTAAATCTCTTTGGTTGCGCTCTATAATTTAGCTATCAGAATCAAACCTCCTTCAAACGTCATCTTCCCAACCTTTTGATTCCTCAGTCCTCGACCTCCCTTCCCATACATCATGTGGACCTGGTGGCACAACATCACACATCGTGTGCAGGCATCCTGCCACATGTGGAACCGCGACCTTTTGGCGGCCAAGACGCATCTCGATGACGAATACACCTTTACGCCGGGCAGATATGCCGGTCAGGGATACAACTAGATCAACTAGTGTGGTTGCCTCACTCGCTGAAACCCAGTACTTGGCCTGTGCGCGCGATAGACTTGGAAGGATCTGTCTGACCTTGTACGTTTCTTTCCCAATCCCAGCTTCACAATGCAAATACTAATCTTTGCTATAGCAATCAACGCTACGACTTTTATGACTCGGCCGGTCCGAACCTACCTTCAAACTCCTTGAATATAATAGACTACGGGGAACGGACAGGAGACCTTTGATAATGAAGAGCCGTAACGCTCGAATACTTTGAAATTTTGAATTCTCAAACTTGAACTCTTCTATGCACATGAATCATAAACGGTATTCAACTATCTAAACACCTGGCTTTTGTTTTTCTATTAAACCTTTTGAACCGACCCTTCAACCAAGCCCAGGAAGTCTATATTTACTCCATCTCAATGGTACCCGGGGGCTTGCTGGTGAAGTCGTAGCAGACACGGCAAACGCCATCCACCTCGTTGACGATGCGGGTCGAGACCTTGGTCAGGAACTCGTAGCTGAAGGGGTAGGGGGTGGCGGTCATGAAGTCGCGGGTGGAGATGGCGCGGAGGAGGATGATGTTGGCGTACACACGCTTGTCGCCCATCACGCCGACGGCGCGGGAGGGGTCGAGGGCGGCGTAGGCCTGGCCGATATCGTCGTAGAGGCCGGCTTCGCGGATCATGGAGATGAAGATGTTGTCGGCCTTGCGAGCCATCTCGACCTTCTCCTTGGTGACCTCGCCGAGAACACGGATGGCGAGACCGGGGCCTATTGTCGGGTTAGATGGATGCTTGCTTGTAATATTAGAGTTCAGTGCAACTTACCAGGGAAGGGGTGGCGTCCGACCAGTTCGGCGGAGATGTTCATCTGGCGACCGAGCTCGCGAACCTCGTCCTTGAAGAGCTCGCGCAGAGGCTCGATCAGCTTCAGGCCGTGGCCGGCCATCAGGCGTTCGGCAATACCGCCGACGTTGTGGTGGGTCTTGATGGTCTGGGAAGGACCCTTGAATGAGATACTCTCAATGACGTCTATCCAAGATGTTAGTTTGAAGGTATTGGATGAATGGCTCATTGATACTCACCAGGGTAGAGGGTTCCCTGCAGGAAGAACTCCACCTTGCCATTGTTCTGGGCCTCGATCTTCTTAGCCTCCGCCTCGAAGACATCAATGAACTTGCCACCAATGAACTTGCGCTTCTTCTCAGGGTCGGACTCGCCCTTCAGACCAGCCAGGAACTCCTCGCTGGCATCAACGACGGTAAGGTTGATGCCGAGCTGATCCTGGAGAACCTTCTTGACAAGAGCGCACTCGTTGAGACGCATGCAGCCGTTGTCAACCAGCACGGCGTGGAAGCGGTCGCCAATGGCCTCGGTCATCAGCTTGGCGGCCACAGTGGAGTCGACACCACCGCTGACAGCACCGAGAACCTGGCCCTGGGGGCCGACGAGATCACGGATACGCTTGATCTCCTGGCCGATGAACTCGGACATAGTCCAGTTCTGAGAAGCACCGCAGATACCGACGGCGAAGTTCTTCAGGAGCTGGCCACCCTGGGGGGTGTCTGAGATGCGTTAGTATTTGATGACAGCGTTGGCAATGACCGGTATGGGAGACTAACGGGTAACCTCGGGGTGGAATTGAATGCCGTAGACAGGCTCGGTCTTGTGGGCAATGGCGGCGTATTCGGAGTTCTTGGTGGTACCGATGGTGTGGAAGCCCTCAGGCAGATTGCAGAGCTTGTCACCGTGGGACATCCACACGGTCATAGCATCCTCAAGACCCTCAAAGAGCTTGTCGACGTGGCCACCGAAGCGAGTGGCCTGCAGATCGGCGTGGCCGTACTCACGAGCAGTTCCAGCGACGACGTTGTCAGCGTGCAGACGGTGAGCGATCTCCTGCAGACCGTAACAGATTCCTAGAATGGGGACACCGAGCTCGAAGAAGGCGGGGTCGATGTGAGGAGCATCCTTCTCGTAGACGGAGTAGGGACCACCGGAGAGGATGACACCCTTGGGCTTCCAAGTCAAGTCGGCCAGCTTCTGAGTGCAAGGCAGCATCTCGGAGTAGACATTGATCTCACGGAGACGGCGGGTGATCAGGTGGGTGCTGCAGAGAGTTCCGTGTTAGGTTTCGGCGCATATCAACGCAATTGGGTTTGCGCCGGTTGATCGCAAGGAAGAACATACTATTGAGATCCATTGTCGAGCACCAGGATGGTGTCGAAGGTGTTGTGGGGGATCACCTCGGTGGACATTGTTAAGGTTGGAGGTCGAGGTAAGGGTATAGAAAGTCGACACTGCTCCTGAGCAGAAGCAAGTAAAAGAGTCCAAGAATTCAATGACTCAAGACCCCCGCAAAGCAATGGGAAAGAAGATTTTCCAGATTTTCTTAGAGGGGCTGCGATAAGAAAAAAGTCATCGCGGGACCGATTGCTGACTTACCGCCCACATGACGAGGGGCTCCTTATCGATAAGGCCATCTATGCAGCCTAAAAGAACTACTATTCGCAAGAGGACAAATGAATAAGATGAGGTCTAGAGAGGAAAGGAACAAACAGTATAGCAGACGCACAGTCTTAGGAGTCAGAACTTGAACTCGAATCTACGAGCGAAACAGAACTTTTCGAGCTTGGACTGAGGCTAGTCCCCCATTCTATTTCTTTACCACGGAGCGCCCTCTCGCGTCCGAACAATCTGCGGCTGAAGAACCACATTGAAACCCTTCTACATTCTCAGAGTAAGTTCTAATGTGAAGAACAATCAGGTATAACCATCTTATAAATTTTGTATGACACGACTTTGGGTTAAAAAATGAGACCAAAGGAGATAAGGTCAACTACGCACAAGCAGATTGAATAGTGGCAGGCAATTGAAGGAGCCCCCATCGGACTCGACGATAGCTCGCAGGTTTGTTATCCGCGAGTCGAAAATCACGCATAGACTCCAACTAGTCTAAATTATTAAAACAATCCCGCGGTCTGGGGTACGTCAAGAGCTTTCAAGCACTTCCATGTGAGACCAGAGCCTGGAAGCTCTCAGCATGTACCACAAGCTGCTGAGGTTGCAGAGAAGGGAAGAATAGGTTAGAGGAAAAGAATAGACATAATAGGTATATCGAGAGAGAGAGAGAGAGAGACAGAGAGAGAGAGAGAAAGAAAGAGGTTTAAAGGAACTTTCATTCTGGAGCAGCCTCGTTCGAAACAGTGACACCGCTCTTTCTTCCACCCAAATGCAGAACTAAATTGTGAGAAATCAGCAGAAAAATCAAACATGAGTTTCTTAGGGACGACCCTGAGGCTAGTGTTGTGACAGACGCGTAGCAAGGCCAGATGGGGACCAGGTATCCCCGAAATGTCTCAGGGGCCATTTTGCGATATCATATTTGAATGATCCAGAATTAGAGTTCAAATAATGCCCATCGTTTAAGGGGCTATCGTTTAGCAGAAGGACGCGTATAACAATCCGACTCGAGGGGGGAAGAGCGTTGGTTTGAGTCTTGAAAGTTGACAGGGGAGTCGGTATTTATGACCTGCCAAGTTGGAGTCAACGCCCACCTGCAGCCACGCAATCACTACCGATGTTCTATTTACGCTAAAATATAGACAAAAGTCAAATTCTAGGGTCACGTTCCCCGCGTGGTGGATAATGTACCCATCATGGTGCTGATTTGATCCGGTAAATTGAGGTTCGGGATCATGGCAACTCAGTTTTGCAGGAAAAGCTAATGGCTATTCTTGGATGTCCAAGGCACCAGGGGTTTTTGTGGCATTGACATCTGTCATATCAATATACCTGCCAGAATCTTGGCCTGGCATATTTTTGAGCTACTCAATGCGGAATGCTTTCAAGGTCATCAATATCTCACTTATTCTGTTCTTACGTATCGGAGGCTTCTTGCGCTTTAGTTTAGATGACCGTGTAGAATGAATGTCATCTCTCAGCTGATCTGGATCTTCGGATCCTTTGTCAACTCCGGTAATGATTGTCGAAGCGATGAATATTATGAACACAATAAGGTTGTCAAGTTGAATAGAATCCTACAGAAGTATTTCCCCGTCCACGCGTAGAGGAGCACAGGCGCATCGTTGTTATTCTGAATTTGCCCATAATCAACAAGTTTGAAGACACATCGGTTGAGAATGCCCCCATTGATTATATTGTGAGCCCCAGCGGAGCTTTGGTACTTCAGAATTGCAGTTCCAGTGTTGCTGGCACATTCAATTCACTAAGAAAAGGGAACCACGTGTGTCAAGGTCTGGACCAGGATGACTCCGGGCCTACGTGAATTACGGAGCTTTCAGCATTGATAGCATTATGTCCATTGTAATCATTCTGAAGGACCGTGCTTTGCTGTCAGAGAGGGGTGTCGGGAGCTGAGAAACGCGACAGGTTGGAATAGACTGGTGGATACCTCCGGGGGTTTCCTGTGCGACCATGGATGTCAGCTCAGACTCAATTGAATCCAAGGGTCCGGGCAATAGTAGCCAGACTGGGCGATGATTTCATCAATCCTCCGGGGGGACAGTGGCGTAGAAAAGTAGTGCAGATGATCAATGCGCACTCGCTGTCGTTCTCGCTCGTTCTCGCTCGTTCAGGACGGTCTCCGGTTGGAGCCCGCGTCCTCCGCGAACGAACCCACTGTCGACCGGGAACTATACATTCCAATGAACCATTCTGAGCCTGCCAATAGTAGTTTGCGGGGTCCGCAGTTCTTTCTCATTAGCTCCTCGCATATCTTGATTTCTATTGTTTTTAGGAGTCTCCGGAAATTTGGCGTGATCCGAGCCCTGGAAATTCGACGTCCATTCTCCGAATGCAGCTCTTGTTGACGTAGATCATATAACATAGCCCAATAACAAGCTGAATTGGGAAAGAAATGAAAAAAAAGGCTACACCAAGCTTATTTTTTGGGGTTCCTCGGGGAAATGCTGGGACTCCATCCAAGGTCTAGAGCTTGGGATGATGTAGGTACAGCCTATATGGCTGTAAGTATCCCACCTCTATATAAGGGATCGGCTCGCTCTTCTTTCTTTCGACTTCCTCAAGAAACTCATTGCCTTTCAAGTTCTGTCAATATTTATTTCTCTGTGGCAAAATGAAGTTCTCCTCTGTGGCTATTACCGGTGCCGCGCTGGGCCTTGCCCATGCCTCTCCTGTCAAGCGTCAGGCAATCACCGATGGTATGTTACCCGAGCCGTTACTCGAGAAATTATACTGACAAGAGGTTGCCATGTAGGTGACATCCTGAACTACGCCCTAACTCTTGAGCATCTCGAGGCCACCTTCTACGCGGAGGGTCTTAAGAACTATACCCAGCAGGACTTTATTAGTGCTGGATACATGGATCCGTTCTATGCCAACTTGCAAACCATTGCTTCAGACGAGCAGACCCACGTGCAGTTCCTGACCCAGGCCCTATCCGGTATGTTTTATTCAGCATTCTTATAGGAAGATGCATACTAACTATTCATTCTCATTAGCTGCCGGAGCCTCACCCGTGGCGGCCTGTACCTATTCCTTCCCCGCCACCGACGTGAAGAGCTTCCTTGCCCTCGGCAGCATCCTGGAGGGTGTCGGTGTGAGCGCCTACCTCGGTGCCGCCGCCTCCATCATGAACGGTACTTACCTCACCGCAGCCGGTAGTATCTTGACTGTCGAGGCCCGTCACAGCGCATACCTGCGCTCCTACCTTGGCGAGAAACCTGCTGCTCAGCCATTCGATAACCCTCTTGACTTCGATGAGGTGTATACCCTGGCTGCGCCGTTCATTACCTCTTGCCCGTCGAGCAACGGCATGCTCCCCGTGAAGGCCTTCCCCACTCTGACGGCAACCTCGACCGGGACCATTATGAGTGGCTCGCAGGTCGCCGTTATGGCTGGCACTGGCTTTGACATGTCAATGGATACCTCAGATATCTCTGCTGCCTTTGTCACCGTCACTGGCCCCGTCTTTACTCCTGTTACCTCGGACGGTAGTGGAAAGTTCACCGTGACTGTTCCCGCCGGTGTTTCTGGACAGAGCTATGTCGTCCTTACCAAGGGCAACTCCACCGTTACTGATGATACTATCGTTGCTGGCCCCGCTATCCTTGAGGTACTTTGATTTTGTATTTATAAGAAAAAGTTTCGCGGTTCATGAAAACTGACGGGGTTGATTCGATAGGTTGGTGCCAAGATGGGAGGTATTGTGGGTGGATGCAGCAAAACCATGTCTGGCTCGTCTAGCATGACTAGCATGTCTATGATGAAGCCTACTGCGTCGCCCTCCATGTCGGTGTCTGGTTCGATGACTTCTTCGTCTGCAATGGCTAGCAAGTCTCCTGTTTTCAACTCGGCAAGTGGGATTTCTCCGAGTGGAATCTTGAGTGTTCTCATGGCCGCTGCTGCCGCGTGTTTCATGTAATATTTTGCATGCGATTCAGTTGTGCGGACGCTTGAACTTCAGCATAATGTGTATTAGGGGAGGCCATGATTGTCATTCTTCCCACGGGTGAGCCTGGTTGTCTGCAGGCTTGCATAATATAATTAATACCCTCGAGCCATGAAAAGACGTATACTTCCCCTCAATTCGCAACCGTACCGCCACTGTCTCTCTCTTCGTATACCCTTGTATGTGTGTATGGGACCTGTACAGCCCGACCATGTATGAGATGACGTAAACTTGGAAAGTCACTTACATTCCGCTAAATCCGGGATCATGTGGAGATAAAGAACCCCGGCCTTGAGATTTGAGTCCCCTAGTAGCTTTCCCCCCTGCATATACGCCCACAAAAGAAATGTCGTGAACGGCCCCGTGTCATGCCACGCCGCGCCCACACCAAGTCCCGCTATGGCTGTGACAACTGCCGCCGGCGCCGGGTGAAATGCGATGAACAAGGCCCACCCTGCACAAACTGCATTCTACGGCGTCTAGACAATTGCGTATATTCGCGTGTTCTCCCAGCTTCGCTTCTGGCTAATTCCCGCCGTCTAAGCCAACCCAGTATCTCGCCACGCGAAGACGTGGTCCAACTGAATGGCTTCAGACCCGAGTCTCCTAGCTCCCCACTCAAGAACCCCCAGGTCGATGAGCTCGAGCTGATGCACCAGTTCGCTACGGACACCTATCGGAGCCTCTGCGTTAGCGATGATGAAATTAGCACTTGGCAGGTTCTTGTTCCGCGGCTGGCACTTAAACAACGCTACTTGATGGATGGGATACTGGCACTAGCCTCGCTGCACATCGCCACCACGCGCGAGCCCGCCAATGCTCTTCACTATATAGACACAGGCTTGGAGTACCACAGCCTGAGTCTTGAGCCCTTCCGCCGAGCAATCGACAATCTAGCGCCGGAAAATTGCGACGCGGCTTTTGCCCACTCGGTCATCACGACCGCGATTAGTCTCGCCCTGCCGCAGCTGACAGTGACGCGCGAGAATGCAACCCGAATGACAGATAACATGACCACCGTCTTCGAGTTGCTTCAGGGTGTCAAAAAGATCTTGACGATCGGACAGTCATGGATCAACCTGAAGCTCTTCTCGCAGGGCGCTTTCTGGAAAAATACATCAGCGACTCTGGATGCGGATACAGACAGCGCGCTGAACCAGCTCGCCACGCTGAACGAACAGACAAGGGCGAATGGCGACGAGATTCAATTCTCCATTAATAACAATGCCATTACCCATCTGCGACACTGCTTTACGAAATTTGCTGCTTCTTCCGACCCTGCGCCTGTGCTGGCTTGGTTGGCGGCCGTGGATAAGGGGTTTGTGGATAGTTTACGGCGACGACAACCTTTTTCGCTACTTGTCCTTGCATATTGGGGTCTTCTTCTTGCGGAGCTAAATGGGCAGCGATGGTGGGCGCTGAATTCTGGGCGAGCGTTGGTTTCGGAGTTGCTTGATGCACTGAGTGCGGAGGATTTGCTGTGGGAGAGCTGTTTGGGCTGGGTACAGCAGAGAATCGCATCAAAAAATGGTTGACCCCTTTCACGATTGTTTAAAGATGGGTCATTTGCATACCCAGGTAATTCAGCAGACTGACCCCGAGGTCATTGGAGGGTTATTTTTGTGAGTACAGCTTGAATCTTAATGACAACACCGCCGTCCCAAACACGTCGGACGCGATACTTTTCATCATGAGGACCTCACTTTCTTTATTATTCAATAAAGTACAATGATTATATACAAATATAGTGGGGAGGTGCAAAGATACAAGTCTAAACTCGCTCAAAGGGGATATCTCATGCGGCGCTGGCATTAGAGACAACAAAAATGGAGGGAGGGTGGGAAAGGCGCACAGAAGGCAAACCCTTTCAGGAAAAGTGACGATCAAAGACGGCAGTGACATCTCAAATAACCCCCTGCAACGTCATTGGCACCTGGATGGCATTTTGCTTTAACCAGGTCAACGGCCAAGGTTTATTAGCCCATTCACGATCCATAGTAACCGCAGCTTCTAGCATAATGCCCAAGGGAAGATCAATTGTGAACCTAGGGCCATATTCAATTTCTTGTTGGACGGCAAGATTGGCTATTTGGAGCTGGAGATCACGCCGTGGGCCCATTGGCACAAACCCGGGCCGGTTCAGGTAGAGGAGTGGCTCCTCTTTGAACTCATCTGGGAGACTCTTGATGATATGCGCTGGGAAACGGCGAAGGCCACCCAGTTCCAAGCCACTGATAACATTGCCAGCGCTGATGCGCCAGATATTACCAATCTGGTCGTTGTTCGAAACGACCGAGACGTTGCGGCAGAGAGAAGTCAAGACGCATTGGCGCATTTTGTAGGTCACTTTGTCTTCAGTGCAGGCAAAGTGCCACAGAACACGGCAGATGTTGTAGCGGCGAGCTTTAAAGGCCACCAGAAACAGGAGTTCGTAGGTTGCGCTATCGAGGCTGAAGCTGGCGCGGTTTAAAAGTTGGACGGTGTAATGCATGGCGTTGTAGATGTTTGAACGGAACATTACCACGATAGGATTGAGGCATTTGCTTTCAATCCGTAGGTTACGATCGTGGCTGACCTTCAGCAACTGTTTCACGGCATCGTAATTTTTCATCCGAGTAATCACGTGGATCATCTGGTTAAGTAGCGATGAATTGATCCAGTTGGCCCCTTGTGTCTGAGCCATCAAATCAACAAAAGATTCAACTCCTTTGCCACTTTGCAAATGCAGGTGTAAAGAATCATCGATTGTCAAACGAAGAACGGTTTGAACCGTGCCAGGGTCGTCCAAAAGGCCTTTCCGCGCCATGCACTGGATTATGTTGGCCTTACTGGCAGCTGTGACCATACTCTTTAGCAAGGCGATCCATGTTAAGGTGGTTGGATGAATATATTTTCGTCGCATAGAGTTCAAGAAAGCGTAGAAAGCGCTGCTATCCATGCGCCGCGCGGCCGACTCCAGAAGGATGTTATAGCTGTCCACAGTAGCAAATGGCTCTGCCGAATTGAACACCTCTCGGACAGAGCTGAGCATCTCGTGCTTGCATAGATATTCCAGGGCGCAATTCAAAGCCGCAGTTGAGAAATACTTGCGGTTTTCATCTCCTTGAAACAATGCCAACAATTCCTCTCTAACTAGTTCCTTGTAAGCAACGCCAGGCGGGCCAGAAGGCTTTCCGGACGACTTTTCCTGCACCCAAGTCAAGTCCTCGATGTGCTCCAAAAAGCTTTTCATGGAAGTAATGGGCCGGCGGAATTTGAGGACCTGATCCAGACTCAGGGGTCTAAGCTTCTCGCGAGCCCAAACACCACGGACCAGAGGTCCGTATATCTTCTTCTCGCTCAGTAAAAGGAACGAGGAGATAATAGGAGCGGGCGGCTTAGCCATGTCGACGAGTGGGTCACCGACTGCCTGCAGCCATTGTGCGCGAGCGATCGACTCTTTCACCAGCTCTTTGGCATTTTCCGAGCCCGACAAAATCGCTTTGCGGGAGAAACCATCGCCTTCTGCTGGTGGAAGAATTCGGACCCAGCACCCGTTGCGAATAGAAGAGAAGTAGATATTTTCCCTGAAAGAGTGATCCGAGACACCGAGCAGCAGTCCCACAGTCTCTTCGGGGATGAGGATCTCCGAGTGCTTGGATCTCCTCCTCGGTATCAATCTTTTCTTGTTCTGCAGATGATTCAGAAAGGCCGTGACTTGGCGCCATGTTGGTACAGATTTGCCTCGCCTCGTGGCAGATTGCCTTGCATCAAAACTCGTCCCAATAAATCTGCTAGCGCGTAACAGCCTTTGATCCCGAACGGATATTCCTTCGACCGAAGGCTTAGGCTTCGACTTCAAAAGACCTCGCGACCCTAGCACCCTCCTCCGGCGCCGTCCTCTTATCCGTGTAAGCTCAGTCGATGGGACATCGGGAAGAACGAGTGGATGATCGGCAGGCTGCTGTGGCCCTGCAGCAACACCCTGACCTGACACTGCGTCTCCCCCAGCTTTCTTGCCTCCATCAAACTTCGTATCTCCAATCTCCGCCACCAAGTCCACATAGTCATTCGTACTACCGCGAGCTTTTCTGAGGGAAACCGCACTCGAAGAGATCCATTGACACGATTGACTCCGTAACGACGGCAAAGGGACACGAAGGCAGACGGCGGTTCGAAAAGGGGCACGGCAGGTTTTCGCCGGAGCTGCAGCGGGCGTCAAGGACGTGATCGGTCGGTGATGGCGGTGGGTAGACGCTGCCCACCGGGGGTAAAGGAACAGCAGAGGTTCATCGGGGCCGGCCGCGACGGCGTCCAAGACGACAGAGAGGCGCCTTCTCAGACATGGATGGCCACGCGAGAACATATGTGACGATATGCTAGCATGGGCCAGTGAAATTGGTTGATTCAGAGGTTGACGGAGCGGTCTCTTTGCTCCGGAAAAGTCGCGCCGGCAATTGAGGCAGGCGGTGGCCAGGGGCTCCGGCCTAGCTCCGATCTGACGACTGCCCTCAAACATTCAAACTGTTCCACTCGGAACAGTGCCATGACAGAGAATAAGATTGAAATAAATGGAACGATCATTTCTCGAAGGTATAAGGCTAAAGACAGATTCTAAAACACAGGATTAGGCCCTTCACCTGGGCACGCTATAATTATAGCTCAGTAGATGTGCCATTCACGCCCAACCTGAGCTGCCTTAGGAATTCCCTTGATTCCCTTGCCCTTGAGAACATGCAATGGCTCGTCAGTAGTCTCCGCTCGCTTAGCAAGCAGAGAGTCATGTCTGGATACAGGTGTAAGGTCAAGCAGGTCTATAGCAGACTCGCCTTGATTATCAGTAAATACTTCTGGGCCGATAATATGGCTCCGGGCGCTTTCTGCTGCTCGAACGAGGTTATCTTTCTTGCGTTGAGCTTGGTCGGCATTATCGTCGCACTCGGTGATTCCCTTGGATAGTTGTTGAATGATGCCGACAAGATAGGTCACGAATTGCCAGCGTGATGTCTGGAATAAGAACATTGACATGATTTCGGGGATCTGTCACATATATCAGTAACTCGTAACTCGTCATTAGCGTGAGCGTTTCTCGGCTTACCCTGTCGTTCAAATAATACAACTCCTCGCCCCCATTCTGCACAAACTTTTTCAACGCCTCGATCCTCTCTCGATCAATCGAAGCAAGCTTCAACTCATGCATTAAAGACGGAATATCAACAACCTCCTCCGATGGCACCTGCTCATCCGTCTTGGTGCTAACACGACTCAAAAATCCAGACTCAACACGACTCAGTCCAGCCACACTCTGCGCCCGACTCGTCACCTTCGAAGAATGAATAGTGAAATAGTCCTCATTAAGCATGTGAGACCGCTCATAACCCGATCGACCCCGATGTTTCTCAACAACCTTGTTCCTCAATCGAACCCAGCGTCTCCGCCGGACGAAAGAGTGTAACCACGGATGCGTGCCGTGCCACTGCGACGAGCTAAACGAAAAGGCATACTGCCATCCCTGCTCGTCCACATCACCGGACATGTCTACGTACCATGCCTTCCAGGCCCATTCCCAGCTCGGATCTGGTAATTGGGCATTGGTGATATTGACCGCGCTGTCGCGCTTATCCTGCGTCATCCAGGCGCCGGGGTCGAAGTTCAGGAGCGAACTATGCGAGTAAAGGGGGATACCGAAGAAGAAAGAACCGCGCTGGTTTTCATAAAGAACATCCAGTTCCGAGCGCGTCCTCGAGCCTTTGGTGTTGGTGGTTTGCTGGTTCAGTGCACCTGACTGGGAAGTATCTGTGTGGCTCAAGACTTGCGATGGAGCAAAGTCGACTGTTTCTGCGTCTTCTGGGGCCTCTCTGGATCCTATTCCATTCTCATCCAAGGCGAAGAGGGCACTTGGTCCCGCGCCTGAACTTGCTCCCGATATCGATCCTCGCACTCGGGACGACTCCCTACTCGGGGAGGTTTCTGTCTCTGTTGACGAGACCCCGAGTTTGTCGGGTTGCCATTTTGCGTATTTCCTTTTCGCCAGTTGGCTCTGTACAGATGCTCGACTCAGATGCTTCGTCAGTGTTCCTTGGCGACCGACCGTGGAAGTTCGTCGAGGGGAGTCCTGGCCGGATGATTGTTGCGGGACGGTGTTGTCCACGAGGGAAATGCTCTCGGTGCTGGCCATAGTCGCGACAGAATCGAAATGTCAATTCGGCGATCAATCTCTCCGAAAGACCCTGGAACCCTGGTCGTATCACAAAGGTCGACAAGGCAGATTCATGGATCCGAAAACCAGGTCGCATTAAACCCCCTGTAGTGGTTCTAAGAGGTAGTCGGATCCGGATTCGAGGAGCACAGCAATATAGAGTATTAAGAAAAGGAATAAACGGAGAGGAAGGAAGGTCGCAGTTGGGAAAATCCAGACGGGTTATTCCAAGGTCACCGATGACATCGTTTGCGGGGAGGCACCTGCCAAGCCCAACGCGTGCAAAAGTGAACCTCGAATCAACACAACCTGCCAAATCCAACAATGGCAGCGCCGCACCAGCGCAAGATCGAGCTCCAGTCTCCAGCAGACTTCACCTACCTCTATGCCAACACAGTCGCACTCTCGCGCCAGAAACTAGACCAGGCCCTACCCCCTTCCGCGAACAACGATGAACCCGACCCGATGCGCGAACGCGTAAAAGAATTAGTCGACGAGGTAAGTTTACAAGCCCATAATTCCAGAACTACGAACTGATATCCAATGGAATAGTACATAAATCGGACCTTCACAACAGCCTCCGCCTCAATTAGCATCAACGGAATCGACTCCTCATCCCCCCAATTCCCGTTCCCGGCCGCATTTACCGCGCCAGAAACAGTCGAGTACGAAGCCTACGATGCAGAGCTCGCCTCGCGCGTAACATCCCTCTACGCCCAGCTCGAATCACTCACTACAACCGTCGCCCAACTACGCCGTGGTGGGCCGCAGGCAGCGGCGAGGGATTATGCGGCGCAGTTGACACAACTGTTGAAAGAGGAAGACGAAGAATTTGAAAATTTGCTCAAGGAGAGCGAAACGAAAGTGCAGGTCGGGGCAGACGGCATGGACGTGGATACAAAGACTGGGTCCCGACAGATGGATCCTTCGTGGAAATTGGATGTACAGCTTGGGACCACCGAGGTGACGGAGCGGTGGCAGAGTGGGGATATGGCTGATGTGTATGAGGATGCGTTGCGGACGTTGCAGCGGTTGCAAGGCGAAGGTGAAGATATTGTGGTTGGAGAGGGGAATGCGCTGGCGACGACGGTTGGGAAGGCTGAGCGAGCTGGACGGGCAGCCGAGGTGGTTGAGGGTATGTGATTTGGGATTTGCTTTCAGGGTCAATGGCGGCGTTTAGGTGCCCGGGGGTAGCTGGGGATCATGATACCACATCTTGTTTATGTTGGCCGTTCTTTTTATTTATTTCCTTTTTGACTCTTACTTTTTTACTTCACAATGGATGCTCAGCAAGCAACTGTACTATGATATTCTCCTTGGGCCAACGGCCGCAATTTCACTATGTGCTCTCCCGTGTATACACTCCATAAAACAAGGAAAGGAAAATAAAGCCAGCCATCTTCACTCCCCAACTCGCTTTTAAGAAATGTCATTCCGCCCAGTCCCTTCTATGTCAGCGGGCGAGCCGCGGATTTTAAAAAGGCAGAAAACATGTATGAGGAAACATGGCTCTTCGTGATATCTAGATCAGAAGTGAACAGGAAAAGCCAGGCAATCAGTCCACGGAGATATGGATGGGTGGTCGGCGAGGGTGTTGAATCAGACGCAATGGTCTGCGATGATGTGTCAAGTTCTTCCACTATAGACCGGCAAGATTAAAAGACAGATAGGTCACACATCGGTGAGATATCCCCCGGCTCCATAAACCGATTGTTTTGTTTTTGTATTTTCTTTGTGTACGAAAGGCGGGCGTGGAGCAAAGTACGCCCCCGGTGGATGCGAATAGCGAGTGGAATGATTCGTTTCTATGAAGGCTCTATGCGGTGGCCTCGGCGCCCTCGTGGGCCTCGTCGCCCTTCTTCTCGACACCGGCATCCTCGTTAACGACGACGTCCTTCTCAGCCTTGGGGGTAGCCCAGGCAGGGGCGCGAGCCCACTCGGACTCCTGCCACGGGCCCTGGTCGGAGAGCTCGCAGCCACCCTCGCACTTGCAGGAACCGCCGAACTCAGCGGGGAGGTTCTCGGGGGCGACCTGGGCGAGCAACTCAGACTTGTATCCGCTGCCGAGAACGTGGATCTTGTTGACGGTGACCGGATCGAGGAAACCCTTGACAACGCTGAAAGCGCCGCTGAAGCCCCAGGGGGCGTTGATGATGTAAAGCTTGCCCAGACGCTCGGGGTAGTAGTTCTGGGAGATATCGGAGGCCTGACGAACGTAGCCGTAGACTGAGGGGATGCTGGTGATACCGACACCCTTCAGGTCCATAATGGTGCAGCAAGTCTCAAGCAGCTTGCCGGCCTTGCGAGAGCAGGCGGGCAGACGAGGGTCGGCCAGCTTCTCGTACTCGCAGACGAGGTTCTGCAACATGCGCTCACCGCTGGTGATCTTGTACATAGCGTTGAGGTCGATCTTGCCGAGCTTCTCGATGTAGACGGGGCGGCCATCCTGGGAAGGTGCATGTTAATTTCTCTTCCTAGGAAACAGACGAAGGTAGATCATGGGGAGCCTACCTTGTCGGTCTTGTGGTAGTATTGAGGGTAGTACTTGAAGACATCGGGCTTCTCCTTGTAGTCGAAGGTGCGAGGAAGGTCATCGGTGCCAAACTCCTTGCGCCAGGCCTCGCACTTGACGAACCTAGACAGCCACGTTAGATAAGGGCTTTCTCCACATGAGTGGCGGGGAGGAAGCTTGCTGGAGCAAGGCCCCAACAAGTATGGGAACTGGGCAACATACATGGCCTTGGCGAGCTCGACATCAAACTTGCGAGCGCGCAGGAAGCGCAGCATGGTCAGGGTATCCAATCGGTCGGTGTACCCCTCCTGCTCCAGCTTCGTGCGCAGCTGGTGAACCTTCGCATCCTGCTCCTCGGTGGTGTGGCCGGGGTGGCCACTCTGGGGCTCCGGTGCGGTGGTAGGGAAGTCGTACGAATCGTACTTGGGGTCGATAGGCAACGCCTTCTCAGCAGTGGCCATTGTGAAAATTTGATCTGAAGATGGGGGGGGGGGGGGAAAAGGGAGGAAGGAAAGTTGAAGCGGGAGAGGGAGAAGAAGGGAAGGCGGGAAGGTGGGCGTAAGTGGCCACTTCGAACCCGGCATTGGGGAGGATCCGCCCTTGGAGTAAACAACACCCGTGGGCACTAGTCGATCCTTTCTTTTGGCAATTTACAGCGGGGCGTGGGAAATAAATTAAAGTACGGTTTAGGGGGCTTCTGGTCGAGCTAACAAGAGGATTGTCGATTGTACATTTCTATATTGTATTGTATTGCACTGCCGCAAACGGGACATTTGGAGGATTAGCCTCTTGGTTTGTATCTCGGTACAAATTCGTCCATTGAAGGATCAGCACCGTCAGAATGCCCCTAAAAATCTCTAAATCAGCCGAAGGAGAGATGAGGGGCACGAGGCGGTGTCGGTAGAACGAATCAACTTTGCAGGTCAAGATTGGGGCTAAAGCAGGAATACGGAGTACGAGTACATGGCAACGCTATGGAGCCCAAAGTAAATTCCACCTAGAGTGATATTATGGGAAGCATCGGTACAAATTGGAAAACAGATGGGTATTCAAGCAGAGACGACCGTACGTCACAAAATCAGGTTATTATACAGCGCATTGAGACTCAAGGCCCGAGCGGTGATGGGACAAACTAATAGGATTACAGGACGGAGCCCAAATCAGGTCAATCAAAAACAAAAAAACTATGCGCTGGGTATAAATTGCAAACATCCACAAAGGAAAAGGGAAAAGCAGACAGCGTCCAAGATCGGGACCCCGAGCCAGCGGGATCTCTCGATCATCCTCCATCAAATATGTTCGTATATCGGCAACATTCACTGCCATCCACCCGGGTGGTGTGGACGGGTCAGAGTCATTGCAGAGCATTCGTCCAGTCCATCGAGAGTGGAGTGGGTATATGTATAACGGATTATGTCCCGTGTCCATCAGATCATCACATTAAGCCGCATGGGCCAACCAACCGAGACGATTGGGTCAGAGAGACATAGGCTGCTCGCCCGGTAATCGGTCTCGTTTCAATCATTAGGGGAGACTGGAAGTCTCGAGAGCGCGAGGCCCTTACCATCCCTTCTTTCGTGCAAATCGTTTGTTCAGAAGAGTCAACACCTTGGTGACATTAAACTGAACGTATTCCAGGTCAAGGTCTTCCAGGTTGTCCTTCTGCATCTCCAGAAGATCATCGAGCTTGAGATCAAGCTCCAACAGTCCACGGGCTCGGCCTGCATTCATTGTTAGTATCAAGGGTTCGGGAATCAATTATCAGCGTAGGTCAGTACTCACCCTTGTAGTGCAGGCTGATGACAAATGTGCCAGGGAGAGGGCTCTTGAACATGAAGTAGATGTTCGCCCTACGGTTTTCAGGCACATTGCTGCGTCGGATAACACCCTCCTTCTCCAGTTGCTGATGAGTGAACTTGTACGGACCAAGTTCTTGGTGCTTCTGGGTCTTACGCTGCTTGCCCTCGGACTGACTGCGGACGTTGTGGAGGTAAGACTTGTAGGTCTCCAGCTGGCCAACCAGGTAGGCATTGTGGTCGCGAATAGTAGCAAACACCTCCTCCAGCTTGCGGGTTTCGTCCAGAACATTCTCCTTTAGAGAACCCAGGTGAACCAACTCCTGCTCTACTTCGTCACGGAGCATGCTGAACTCATCCGAGCGATCAATCACGCCCATGTCCTGCAACTGGCTGAGCAGTTCCATCGTGCGGATACCCTTACGCACCATCACCGCATCGTTCTTGAGCGTAGCAGCCGCTTCGGCGATGCGGTCCAGTCGAAGGGGCCGGCGAGCGACTGAGGAGTTTTGAGGCAGAGATCGAAGGATCTGGACAAAAGTAGACTTGGCCTCCATGAAGAAGACCTCTTCCTGAGTGATATCCAGAGCAGCGGTCAAGTCATCCAAAGCGGTTTCCCATCGACTGAATAGCGGAACATTGATGGTTCGGTTCTCCTTGCGAGGGACCTGTAGGGGCGCCGCGCCCAACTCCCCGAGGAGCAACGAAAGGTGAGAGTGCTGGTCTTGGGCAAGAGCCGCGCTGTGCTTCTCGAGAAGGGAGTGCGTGGCATACATCTCATTGAGGGTGATTTGCAGTTCGAGGTCGCGCTTAGACAAAGCGACGTAGTTGTCCATCTCAAGACTCTCGTAGAAGTCCTGAACTTCGCACAGGTCGAGGAGAAACTTGTTCACGCGCTCCTTGTTGGACTCGACGAAAGGCTGCAGTCTGGCCATGTAGGGCTCCTTGGCGTACGAAGGCTTGTTGGCCAGGTTCTGGATCATCTTGGCGATCAAGGTCAAGGTACGGCGGGGCTTGTCGGTTGGGGTGGCATCGATCAGCATGTAGGAGCGCGGAGTGACAATGGCGGGGTTGATGAAGCGCAGGAAGAAGAAACCACCGATAAGAGTACAGATGGTCTGGTCTTGAGCATCGGGATACTTGCGACGAGACAAGCTGCGAATCTGTTTGCAAATCCATCGGATACCATACGGGGTCTCGTCCACGGTCTCAATGATGGTGGTCAAGAAACCGTTGGCAATGTCGGTCAACATCTTCAAGCGCGGGGCAATGATGGCCTGGACTTGCTTGTTGGCCTCGGCATCCTCTGCGGTCACCGAGCGAGCCAGGTAGTCCGGAAGAGAGCCAGTCTCTTCCTCGATCTGCTTCACCATACTCTCATACACCTTCAGAGGGTTGATTTCCAAGTCCACGTCGCGCAACTCGATCAAGGAGTTGATGCGATCCGCGAGAACCTGCTTCAGGTAGCTTTGACCGGGACCGCGGCGCGTGTAGGTGGTCATCATGCGAGACACGGGGGTATTCTGGCGCAGGAGGGAGGAGTACTCGGGCGTGTTGTCGAATTGGTAGGTGAGAACAGACTGAAACATGGTGAGCAGCAGGTGCTCTTCGCGGCTCTCGTATTGGTTTCCGTAGATGGTGAACATGACGGTCTGCAGCAAGGAATCGATCTCGGCCATGGAGACCAGTCGACAGAGATGGGCAATGTGACGAGGCTCCGACTGCAACAGAAATAAGAGATTGCCGTATTTCTGAGTTTTCTCATCGTTCGGGAAAAACCCTTCCTGCGGGTCGGCGGTATCGTCGAGATGGCTGGCGACCTCATTTTGCTGCGGGGGTGTGAGTGATCAGTTTTCGGAGGTAATACTTTCACAACATCAATCTTACCTCTTCCAATGCCATCCGGTTCTGAATCAGGAGGGCAATTCGCGAGTCCAGGTATCGCACATCCTTCTCCAGCACGAAATTCTTCTTGGACTGGGATGAAATCTTCGACTTGAGTTCGCGTAGGTGTTTCTGCGCTATGCAGGAGTCAGTACACAAGCTTGGAATACGGGGAATTTCGAAACGCACCTCGCGCCAGATCATCCGAGATTTCCAGGTCCCTGTCCTTTGCGGACATGGACAGGTACAGAGCGGTGACCGACATCCGCTTGGATTGGCGGATGGAGCGAGTATCGTGCGACGACATGGTGTTCTGTCGTGCGACTGGTTGAAACGAGGATGAGGACGAGGACGACGCTCGGGAGATTCTCGATGCGGGCTGAAGCATGGTCGCAACGGACATGGTGAGGATGGGCGAAGATGGGTTTCGGGCGAGGGTTCAGGGTAATTGCACTGCCAGACGAGCAGTGTCAATAGAGGACCGTCGCGCGAAACTGGAAGAAATCATTAGACGCAGTATTCTGGAGGAGTCGAGGCTGGTTCATACCAATTCCCTTCGTATCCCCAGCGTTGGGTGTTATGAGGCGCAAGATGGGCACAGGGGTTGACTTTCTCGACGGGTCAGGGGCGAGGAAATCACGAGTGTATCGGCAGGATTAGGCGACGCGACGTAGATGCCCTGACAAGATACGAGATTGGAGTATGAAGGAAGGGAGGAAAGTAGGGAGGGGAACCTTTGGAGGGGAGGATTATTTCGTTAGTTTGGTGTTAGGGCGGTTCTGGGGAAAAAGGGACAAGGACAGGGCAAAGGACGTGTGGATGCGGTGGAGAAGGCAGACAATCATGATTTCCTCCAAATTAGATGGGAAAAAAAGGAGAAGATAAACCAAGTCTTCCTATCGCTCGCTTTCTTACTTTACACCCTTTTACACACGCTCTGTTCATGCAAGGAGTCGCGTCCACCGTTTTTTACCCCTGGCCCAACCCAAAACCCACTTGGGGCTTCGCCACCCCTTATCCGATCTCTGGTCTTACGGTACCCGTACCCAGGTACCTCCTAGGATGTACCTGGGTACATGAATAGGGGGAAGGTTCCACTCTGAAGAACCTTGATGTCATCAACGGTACGATCCTACGATCTTGAGGATAGGATGGTTGTTCTTCCAGACCTCCGTCTCCATCCTCCATCTTCCGTACTCCGTAGCATGGGTACCTGCATCCGAGCATGGCCCGCACTGACCCGGTGGGGATCACCTTGGCTCACTCAAGTCCACGAGACCTCCATGTGGACGCATTTTTGTAACAGGGTTTCAGGTTGATGTCCTATTTCTAGAGAAGAATGTACCGTACCTGCCTCCAACCTCTCTCAATCCCCGATGGAGTAAGACTCCACTTGATCGCTCTACGGGGCTAATGCAGGTGCAGCAATCGTTCGACACTATCAAAACGGATGTCTCAGACGCAAGGCACACGGATCTGAGCCGAGTTGGCACCCGGCTCCTTCATCCGACATCGTGTGGTCCGCGTGGATGGAAATTGGACCTTGAACGCGAATTCCCTTTCTCATTCCATGGTCCCAGCGTGACCTCTTATCGCATCCCGACTGGGCAATAGCCGATCTTCGACATTCGTGTCGAGAGGGGGGGGCCCCGGGGCTTCCGCACTCTGGGACCTCCCGGTGTCCCAAGCTTGACTCGACCAAATCAAGACGGTGCTCGACTGCGGGGGTGCATTGAACGCGCACTTGTCCGTTGCTTTTTCCCTCCTTGACTCTGGTCAGGCCCTGCACTTACTTGCATTCCTGGTCAGTGCTTCAGGGGTAGGTGGATCCTATGTGGGACCCTAGATGGAGACCTCAAGAGTTTCTCCTGATCGCAAGATGGTGTACGGAGGCACTCTGTCCTACTCAACTTTGCGCCCCTCTGATCCAGGGTCTGCATGCTGGACGCCTGAGACACCCTACCCGAGAGATTAAAGAGAGCCAAATACAACACCGTAGCTCATAGAGTGATGATCTTCAACTCCGCACTAGCGCACTAGAAATTAACTCCATGCCAAGTGTATCATGGTCCATCAACTACACGGGCCACATGCATCCCTTCCCGTCCGTCATGAAACGCGCCAACTGCCGTCGTAAATCCGTTGCAGCTACCCCCCTTCTCATACTCGAATATTCCAGGCAATCTCGTGATCTTGGATCTCAAATACATCCTGGAACACCTGGTCCTTGGGTAAGCGAGCGGGAGCACCGGAGCACCGGAGCACCGGAGTATCTCTAGCCTCTGACTTCGGACCTTGGCTCTGGGACCACTGAAGAAGATCGCTCGGAAATGTATTGCCCGCCGTCGAACCTTACATTCTTGTTGGCGGGGAACGGGCCATGCGGTATGATGTAGCTCGGCTGATCTGGGTCTGCGCAGTGACAGCATTCAAGCTTGGAATTAGAGCTGCGATGTGACTCACATTGAGCTATTGTAATATGCTGGATATGCAGTGGAGATGACTGTCAAGAACGCATGGGATTGGATCCATTGCCAAGGGTTGACAAATCATTGTCCGCGCGAGGCACTATTGAACTTCAATCAACTCTGAGAAAGACATCTGCAAATTGATCTAAAGATATCGACACGAGTCATGCTACTTACACACACGTAGAAAGAAACCATACCCATGATTCCACAGCTCCATGATTACCCTCAGTTATCTTTCTTCTCACCCTCAGAGGCCGCTTCACCCTCACTCTCGCCCTCACCCTCTGCTTCTGCCTCTGCCTCCACCTGCTCCGGCGATTTTCCAAGCCAGAAGCGAGTTATCATTCCCCCAAGGAACATCTGATCGATCCATTTAATCAACCCGTACAAGATCCATCCCCAGCCCCACAGCGAGATACCCATCATGCTGGCCACGAGGAGGATCGGCCCGAGAATAAGCAAAGACAAGACCGCCCACAGAATAACCGACACAATAGCGAACAAGAACACGCCCACTAAAAACACCAACAGCGGAACAGCACAGCAGATAGCCTGACAAATAAGGAAAGTCGAAGCAATCGGCTTCTTGAGCATAGCCTCATACATGGCCGCCTGCTTAGGCGGCGGGAAATACCGATTCACCACCCATTGAACAAAGTACTCGAAAAGGTCAACAGCCTGTGGGAATAGCCCAGCCATCCATCCGCGGAACGATCCCCATAGCGCCGTGAAATTAACTTCGGGCTGTTCGCCTTGGTACTTCTTCTCGGCCGCGTCGTCGGATGGGAATTCTCCGGGGAGGATCGGTTCCGTGACTGTCTTAGTCGTGTCTCCGACTGTCTTGGTTGTATTGCGCACTCCCTTGGCCGGATCGCTCGCTAGCGTTTTCACGCCCCCGGTCGCCTTATCGGTGACCTGGTTTACAGGCAGGCCCTTGCCGAGACCGCTGGTGACGGGGTCGAGAGACATGGGTATGTGGAGATCGGGGAGCAGGGGAAAATTAAATAAGAAGAGATTTTCTTTAATCTCGAATAGAGGATCAGTTTGGGAAATTGTTTGTGATGGGGGAACTCGTGAGGACTTTGATCTATATCAAGCGATGAGGGCATTTGGGCCATGACGTAAGGGGCGTCTGATAAACTTGATGAAATATATTAATTTCCCTAACTGCTCCATCTTCCAAGGGTGGATGTAACTGCACTGGCTGCAGAATAACGACAGGTGTGGCTGATGCACCACCATGGCTGTGAGTTTGATTCGATGAACGCCACAGCTTGTGGTCATTTCGTGGCGAGAGTGGCTTAATAAAGGTTTGGTTATCTCGAGGTGTATCTCTTTACGGCAGCCAATGTTTGACAAAGGCAAACAAATATAACAACCTGAGGATACAGGATAGTCATTCAGAGGTCTTCCTGAATGAACACGGAAAATACAGGACTGGGTCGTTATGTGTGTGAAGTAAGTGTTTGAAAGTCTCAAGCTTAGCCCTACTGGCTATATCAACGATTTTCAATCACATTGCAAGCGAAAGGCACATCCCTTTATCGATCATACAGTCTTGGAAAGCCATAAATATAAACCAGGTACATCCTAACCTCAATGACGTGAGCCGAGTGAAACTTCAGATTCAAGGTGGGCCGGCACCGGCACAGCTTTTGTTGCTCTTCGTCTAATTCAAAGGCTCGAGCCCGAGGATCGTAAATCAATACACTTGATTCGTTGAAGAGGCATTATCTGTGCTAGTTTTTCTTTTCTATTTGAAGACCAGGAGCTTTTTTCTTCCAGCTTATTCCCACGGGGATAAGAAGTAGTTCAGACCTCTAGAGAATAGACCGACGACCCATGAATGATGTGAAATATGAAGAAAACCGCACCAGAAAAATAATAGACCCAGAATGAACATATACACGAGAACTTGAATCATTTATGGAAAAGATTATCGTCGACCGACCCGCCCAAGAGTCAATTTGCGGCTACTAAGCCAAAATGTACAATGCGAGTTACATGAAGACTAGTATAGTTGCGGCCTTTTCTTTTCCCCTTTTTGCTCTTCTCCTGGAATTCACAGTCCTTGGATAGACTGGTGAGTATACTTCCTTGATACAACTCACTTGTCCTACGCTCCTCGGCTAGTGATTATCTCCAAATGACTCTTCGAGAGCTAGTACGCTCTTCGCGGTCATCTTTGAGACCCTTTCCCTGCACTTGGACTCCAAGAAATGCATTGATCGCACTGGATAACTTGAATGGAGGGTAATGTTGAAATCCGGACATGTGTAATGCTCCCGGGGTTCGCCTATATATCTCGAACCAGACTATACAACCCCTCAGAGAGGCTTCCACCCGATGCCCAACAAACCCGATTCCAAGCACAGTCATTCTGATCACGCACACAAGAAGATCCATGGCACCAGATATTGCTATCGTCGGAGGTGGCCCTTGCGGCCTTGCTCTCGCCGGCATGCTTGAGCAACAAGGCATCGAATACATTGTCTTCGAACGAAGCGCCGAGAACGTTCTACCTCGGGGAGGCTGCTTGGATATTCATCGCAGCAGTGGCCATACACTTAAAGAGGCAGGACGTTTTGAGGAATTCAAGAAATATGCTCGCGCTGGGTATGCCACAATCCACAGCCTTGGGGGCTAGGGTGGCAACAAGATCGGTTCGGCTGGTGAAGGCCATGATTCGCCTGAGCTAGACCATGGATAGTTGCAAAAGATCTCGCTTTCTTCCATTCCAAATGTGTCATTCGTCATTTGGTATATCCTATGAACATGCAGATATTCACTCTCTTGACATCTTCTAGGTGACCCCAGTAGAGCCCAATACTCAAGTATTATCTTCCTTGTACTATTTATTCACCCCTCCAACCCATTCCATTCGACCCTTGAGCAGGTGGCAGGTCAAGTACCAATGGTTGTATGCGGTCGATGCAAGCTCATTTGGATCCAACGCCAGGGTGACAGCAACTACAGAAATGGGCCTTTTATTCTCGGGATCCGTCGACGTTCTAGCCGATGAGCTCGATGTATCGGATGAAGATGCCGTCAAGCAGATCCTTCTACAGGACGATTACTTCGGCTGCCGTATGCCTGAGTTCCACCACGTGATCCAGGACGGAGCCGGACCCATTAGAGCATGGCTTCTATAATATATTCAACAGAGTATCTGCATTCTGTCCTTGTTAGTAGCCGTAGATCATTTCGGTCATTGGGTCGTATTTGATGGGCGACATAGTCAAATAGTGTATCTAAGCAGATCCCTATCATAAAACCATCGGGTAGTGGGTCGAAATGAGGGTGGTAAACTATTCCAGTGAAGTTTAGCATCTGTAAAATCTACCCGACAAAAGAAACCCACTGAATCTTACGTCTTGACGTTTATATATCCAAGGTTTTTGTTTGATTGATGTTCTTGGCCTTGGGAACATGGATTTGAGGTCGTCAGTATTGATGACATTCACGGAGAGCCGGGGAAGTGACCGTAATCCGACCTGTTGATGCGTTGCGTAGAAATTGCTATTTTGGTGTTTTATATCGGCGGCACTTAGACGTTCCATCGCATTTCGGAGGGCCTCGCCATCGCCCTCTTATGTTTGATGAATCACGCATTTTGCTGGAGAGCCATGAGAGTGGAGGGAAGCTGGACGCCTTGCAAGCTTCTGATAAGGTTTATTCTCATTATTTTACTCCAAGCTTCCTCCGTTCCTGAATAAGCATCATAGTCTAGTTGCCATGTGAGTCGGACGACCGAAGACAATGCAACTCCGGTTGAGCTTCATTTTAACTCATTTGAATGACCCAAATAGGTGCGGAGGGCCTCTCGGGACCCGAAGATATGAAGCTGTCCCATACTAGTGTTTGGTATGCTCTCCATGCAAAAGTGAAACAAAATCTCATTGAGCTGATATGCTGCAATACCCATACGCCGGTTTTATGTAAAAGTGCAAGTCTATCTATTTTGGTCGTTTCCCATAAAGCATATCATGAAGTATCATGCCGGCACATCCATCATACAAGACAGTGGAGTGCATGGTTCCATGGGCCACGAAACCCTCAGCTATTCCCATTTCCTTGTGTAACACTAGCCACGACAGGAGGAAGGGGTGACGGATAAGGTGGTCCGTAGGGATCAACAGCCGTTCGAATAGAGCCAGTGCCTTCTTTCAGGTAGAGAACAAGACGGTAGGCCGAGTTGCCATTCAAATAGTATCGGTGTAGTTGCTTGCTGCGGAGGAAGCCAAGGCGTTCGTAGAGTTTCATTGCGGCGGTATTGGTGATCTCGGTTTCGAGGGCGATCTAAGACACGACACATGCTCGTTAGCAAGAGATAAATATCGTATTGAGAAATCAAGAAGAAATATACCTCGTCGGCGTCGCGCTCAACCATGGCGTCAATGGCCATGCGCACTAGCTTCGTCGCAATCCCACGGCCCCGGTACTCCTTGTTCACAGCCAGCATAGCAATATACCCCCTTAGAGGGCCACTGCGGTGCGGCTCAAGCTTTGAAATGACTACACCAATCATCTCGTCTTTCTCGTCCATCGCCAGGAAGCAAAGGTCGCCCCATTGGTACAGGAAGTAGCGGTAGACGTAGATGCTGTAGGGCTCGGATAGGTCCTTGCCGATCAGCTGGCGCATGCCGGCAACGTATTCATTTTCACGGGCGCCATCGTACCGCACGTAGTGGATTTCATCGGGGGCATCTTGGTTCATCGCCGCGGCGTCATGGAGAGAGGGAGGGTTGGGAGGTGGTTGGTGGGATGAGAAGGCGGAGCAGCAAAAGGTCCCGATTGCCATGTGACGCCGATCTATCCGCAACGGGCATCTTATTGGGATTCCCGTTTAGCTTCTCTCATTCTCGTCCCCCTCGAACCTCCGTCGAATTGAGGTTGGGCTTCATTATCTCTACCTTCTGAGCGGTCGCTATGTTGCGTCGCCGCACGGGCAAGGACGAGGTCCCGGCCTCGGACTCGTCCCGCACTAGCAGACCCCAGTTCAACCGGCTCAAAACAGAAGAAGAAAAGCTCCGCGAGGAGTTTGGCGGTGCGAAAGTCAAGCAGCTTGTTATCCGACCTCGCTCTAAACGTCGAAACGGGTTCATCTTCGTGCTGGGCGGCTTGTTCGGTATCTTTATCGCCTTGTTCTTCGCGAATCAGCAGGAGGTCATTAGCTTGGAATCGCTGTTGGACTTGAACCTCGACTCATTGATTGATGCCATCCCGCAAGGAATCATTAGCGACGCCAAGCAATTCACTGTATGGCTCTCTGCCCTTTCTTACCCATCCAGCTGTGCCTTGCTAACGAAACGGCATCCTACAGCAACATGACCGCGACACTGTCACCTACGATTCCTTCTCTGTCGGGCTACACCTACAGTCACAGGGCGTTAAGGCCAAGCATCCCGTCGTTATGATTCCTGGAGTCATCTCCACCGGTCTCGAGAGCTGGGGAACCGGTGCCAACTCGCGGCAGTACTTCCGGAAACGACTATGGGGCAGCTGGAGCATGATGCGGGCCCTAGTGATGGATAAGGCTGAGTGGAAGAATCATGTTATGCTCGACCGCGAGACAGGTCTGGATCCGCCGGGCATCAAGCTTCGCGCGGCGCAAGGATTCGATGCAACCGACTTCTTCATCACGGGCTACTGGATCTGGAACAAGATTCTAGAGAACCTCGCGACGATCGGCTATGATCCTACGAATGCATTCTCTGCTGCCTATGATTGGCGATTGTCGTACCCCAACCTCGAAGTCCGCGACCACTACTTCAGTCGACTGAAGTCTTATATCGAGACTGCGGTCGAGGGAGAGGGTGAGAAGATCACTTTGGCGTCCCACAGCATGGGATCACAGGTGGTACTCTACTTTTTCAAGTGGGTTGAGAGCGAGGATCATGGCAAAGGTGGCAAAGACTGGGTCAACAAGCACATTGACTCATGGGTCAATATCAGCGGATGCATGCTTGGCGCCGTCAAGGGACTGACCGCCGTGCTGTCTGGAGAGATGCGCGACACAGCGCAGTTGAACGCCTTTGCCGTGTACGGGTTGGAAAAGTTCTTGTCCAAAGAGGAGCGAGCAGAGATCTTCCGTGCGATGCCGGGCATATCTAGCATGCTCCCCAAGGGCGGCGAAGCCGTCTGGGGCAACGCAACCTGGGCACCAGACGACCGACCGGGCCAGGCTGTGAGCTTCGGCAACCTACTCAACTTCCGGGAAACTAACTCCTCCTGGACGCGGCGCAACCTCACTACGTCCGAAAGTCTGTGGTACCTTCTGGACCAGAGTGAAGACTGGTACCGCAACCAGGTACTGGGCAGCTACTCGCACGGAGTTGCACACACTAGAAAGGAAGTCGAAGCCAATGAGAAGGACCCGCGAACCTGGCTCAATCCCCTCGAGACGCGTCTACCTCATGCCCCCGATATGAAGATATACTGCTTCTACGGCGTGGGCAAGCCCACCGAGCGCAGTTACTTCTACCAGGAGGAGCTCGACCCATTGACTAACCTGAACGTTAGTATGGACACAACAGTCACCACTGACGAGAACATCGACCGCGGCGTGCTCATGGGCGAAGGCGACGGCACAGTCAACCTGCTCAGCACAGGCTACATGTGCGCCAAGGGATGGCGCATGAAGCGATATAACCCGGCAGGGACAAAAATCAAAGTCTTCGAGATGCCTCATGAACCCGATCGCTTCTCGCCTCGTGGTGGCCCCAACACTGGTATGTTCTGCACCTACGACCGCTATTACCAATCTCTAACCCAGTCCAGGCGATCACGTCGACATCCTCGGCCGTGCCTCACTCAACGACCTGATCCTCCGCGTAGCAGCCGGTAAAGGGGACGAGATCGAAGAGACCTTCGTGTCGAACATCCGCGAATACGCGGATCGAGTACAGATTTTTGACGATGAATAGACATGATTGAATGGGAAGGGCGCCGGACTTTTGGTTTTCGTTTTCGGTTTCTATTACATTCTGATATCCACTTACACCTGTCGAGTTTTGCGTATTGCAATTTCTAGATGGAGGCATGGTTTGTTTCTTGGGCTTGCGGGTCCTGTATAGTCTTTTAGCGCTGTTCGAACACTCATTCAATGAAAGACTACGTTTAACCTCAGTCTATGTTTATTTACGTACGAGACGAGACACGTTTCGAAAAAAAAAATAAAAAATTGCACGTTCTGCAAGATGCAAGGCTCCTGACGTAAGAAACCTTCCCCCTCGTGTACACTTCGTATTGATTACCTGATGCGTCTCAGCCCAACAAGGAAAAGCAGTCATATGACCGAATCTAGAACCAAGCGAAGCCTGCATCACGCATCAATGACTCGATTCGGTCTCGGGTAACTTTGATCTTCGTCTAACAGCTCCCAGACTGAGTGTGAACCTTGGGACTTTGTGCAGCCTCAGACGGCTACAGATGATGGACGAACAATATTGAGGGGCAGCCCCTCTCCGGCAGGCCTCGGAAGGGCACATGCAGAGTTGAGCCCGTGGGATCGACGTGCAGTAGAGCGAGTCGATGATCAGCAAGGCGGGGTTTCAACTTGTCCAAGTGGCATTCCAAGGTGGCGCGAGGGATCTGCACGGGCTGAGACTGCTTTGTGCGGTCTGACTTGATGATTCTCACAAGGCAAGACTAGCAAAATACGTAAGGGTAATAGACACAGTTTGGAACTGAATAATAATGTACAATTCTTCATAACTTCATCTAGGGATTATGAATAACGCTAACGATATCCCCAACGGGGTGGCCCCGCTGTACTCCGACTCACACACTAACCCTCCTCTCCTCCCGAAGGAGACAAGACATTAGGGTTCACACATTATGGTGCTGGTCATTTGGATTCGCGCTTCATTCCAGCCAGAAGCGAAGATATCGACGCAGGGTCGGCGAATCGGCCTCCGTCAGCCGTTCGCCTCCCTCGCCGCCCCATCGCTGAGCTCGTAAGAGTCCCAGCTATCCACCTGCTCTGGAGATCCCCTATGGAATACTCCCAGGCGACGCCGGTAATCACCTGCCAGCGGCGAAGGCATCAAAACGAAGGGCAGACCGAATGAACGATCAAAGGCATCCCTTCTTCTATGTGCCGATGCAAAAAAACACAATGTCATCAAAAAAGCAAAAATGTCCAAGTTTTCTATTGCACAGCGAGTGGGGTGCAAGCAATGGCGCCGAAACTTTTGTTCAACCGAACCCGAACTCCCCAGTTCCCAGGCGCCAGTCATAAGCGATCGACACGAATGATAAAAATGTTTGTGCATGTGGACGAGCCCGGCGCGAAGAATAAAAGGTAGCTCGTCCAGTCGGAAAGTCGTAGCGAAAGACATGGGTCAGAATAGAATGATAAAAGTGCAAACCGTTCCCTGGAGGAAACGTCTGTATCTGTACAAGCGAAGGTTTCCGACGGTGGCAGAGCGAGTCGCAAACCCCAAGCAGGTGGTTGGGGCCGCCACCGGAATTAATATTATAGACGGAGAAAGTCACTCCACAGGCGGAGTGAGGAGACATGTACAGCCAGAAGGTGAAAACAGAACCTTCGGCTCAAGGCGGATCGAGAGCCGCGCGAACCGGAGGTTTTCAAGGGGATTAAAAACCGGTAGAGGTGTCGAAAATGGCTCGATGCAGATAATGGTCCCAACATTGTCGTCAAGTAAAACGCCGTTTCAAAAAAAAAAAATAGAAAAATTAGATGCAATAATGAATAAAGGTCGATAATCGGTATATGCATGTCGAGGGATCGTTTAGCGGCCGGCCTCGATGTCGTGATTGGAGGTCAGAGTCTCGCTCTCCCACGTGTAGTGGTCGTCAACGGGGGAAAGGGAGCCTGAAGAGATCGAGGACGAAGAACCCACGGTCCACTCGTCGCTGTCCAGGTTGAAGTCACCGTCCAGGCTGGCGAGGTCGTAGCCGAACTCTCGTGAGGCGTCACCAACTTCAACGTAATCGTAGTCCCAGCGGAACATCTTGTCACTCTGGGCGCGAGGCAGGAAGCGAGTCTTGGCAAAGTAGAATGCCACAGTGGCCAGCAAACCACCACAAACCAGATCCACAGCGTAGTGGTGGGAGAGGTACATGGTAGCCCACCACATCCAAAGAGTGTAGGTGACCCAGAGGGGCTTCAACCGCGGGAAGACGTGGCTCATGAACAGAGCCGCAAGAGTGGAGTCGGCCGCGTGGAGCGAGGGGAAGGCACCGAAGACTACGGGTGACTGCCTGAAACCCGAGGTGTACAGGTCGATTCCAAGAAGCTTGTCGATACGAGCAAGACCGGCGGGGTTGCCTTGCATCGAGTAGTCTGCCGGGGCGAGACCGTACAAGTTCTCGTACCACGGGGGTGAGCAGGGGAACACCAACTGAATGGTGACAGCACACATGCTAATATAACCGAGAGTCCGGGCAAAGAGGGGAGTCGTGCCTGGAGGACCGAAGATAAAGAGGAGTAGAGAGACGACAAAAGGTGCTCCATAATGGCAGAGGCCATAGGGGATCCACGCCAAAATGTCAAGCACGACGTTTTGGTGAGCGGACAGGATGTTGCTAATGTTGGCACCGTACAGGATGTTCTCCATCGCCGGCAACACCCGGACCCAGATGGCAGGCCGCCAGTCGCTAGGAACGAACCTATTCACGAATTCAATTAGCCAAATTCAGACCGCCACGCGCCTAACATTTTGCCTCGCGGGGGCGCATTCCTACGGAGTGGCAATGCGGGTGTACAACTTACTGGCATCCATAGAAAAAGATAAGCCATCCAGCAATGGGCAAAAAAGGCAGGAAGAATTGCCGGGTGATGGGCAGAAGCAGGGAAAACAGTAGTAGAGTCGAGATCGCAGTCTTGCCGAGCGGGCCAGCAGATTGAATGATCGTCAAAGAGAAGATGCCGATAATGAGAAGCAGGAGGTACTGGAAGTCGTACATCGTCCACCTATGCGCTTGAAGGGAGCGCAGAGTATCGACAGGCGAGAAGGAGGTCTGCAACGTCGAGATAGATGAAGTGGGCGATAAGCGACTCCGGAGCTTCGAACGGATCTTGCGGCGCATTCGATGCGGCACGAGCATCTGGAATGAACGCCATGGCATCTGAATCTGGAGTTTACCGAACTGGTTCTGTGTGCGATCCTTCCATGACGGATAGGTATTCATCTTCGCGGCGAGTCTCCTTCTAGGAGACTCTGGATCACTCGAGGAGAAGGGGTTAAGGGTCGAGGGATGCCGCGGGATGAGACGGAAGGAAGTCGCGGAGTGTTCGGAGGGGGCGAATTCAACGTGGACAGGCCGGCATGCGAAGGATTAAAGAAGAGGGTAAGCAAGGCGCGGAGCCTAAAAGGTGTGAGAGTAGGAGGAGGGGGCGAGGTAAGGATTAAGAAGGGGAAGATTGCATGTTGAGACGATTCTGTATTGTGTATTGGTATTACCGCGTTCCCGGTTTTGAGTCCATGGCGTCACTAGTCCCCTTCAGGGGCCCGTCTCTATCGATGCAACGTACATATGGTCATATGCGGTAATCTTAGTATTGGAGGCACTACGTAGGTTACTACTTGATCAACGGCGACGAACGTGTCGACTCTGTTTGTATAAACAAGGACTTGAGTAACCAAAAAAAATAATTCTCCGTATTTTATACAGCGTCCGGAGAAGTGCCGGGCGGATGCGGCGGAACGGAGTGAACGGAGGCCGATCGGGCAGATGCACGAGAGATCACAAAGCCTTCCGGAGATTACTGCATTGAAAGACCGAATATACCAAGACCGAGGCTGATTCTTCTTGGTCATACTATTCTTTGTTCTTCCACTATGTCCTCATGACTTAGACCTTAGCGGTCTTGGAGGATGGTAGCCCACAGGACAGATATCTGATCTATAGACTAAGCTCGGTCCTGAAAGAAATTAATAAAATACCATGCCCAGGGAAACTATCCCTTGAGAATAAAAAATTAAATAAGGCAGGACAGCTGTGTAGGGAGTGTATTAGTCGGGACGCAAATTTTCGCAAATTTTCAATATAAGATCCATTGCAGGAGGCCGATTGGTCAAGAGCTCCTTCCGCGGCCCATCGTTCCGAGTGGTATCCAACAGTATCCTCAGCTGCTCCGTCCAATTTCGCTTAATGCACCAAAGTTGTACAGACCGTATTTCCAGTATTGTAAGGTGTGTGTCGCCCTGGTGATTATTCACCTGGAATAAGGCTCCAACGGCCGTTCCAGGGTACTACCCCCCTAATTATTATGGCCGACTCAGGGTGTCCCAGGGTATCACATAGGGGCAGGCACTTAATATCGACTACCGAGGCACATCCGCAATGAATGGCCCTGCTACTTGGCGAAACAGCTGATGTTATCGTGTGTGATCGCGTGTCGGGTCGCGTGTCTATGAGACAAATAAACGGCGAAGCTGCTTTTTAGAGCTCCTTACCAGGTGGAGTGTAGCTCGTAGCTCGGCACAGTTGAAAGGTAAAATGAATACGAAAAATTAGAACTAGCGCTGCACTACCGAACGCTATCGTCATTAATGGTCCTGTTTAGTACTGGGTCCAGCGCGTAGATGAGGATGTGCAGAGCATAGTCCAAGTGTCTCAGTAGGGGATGACCAGCCACCCGACTTTCTTCGTCCTTGTGGCGCGATTTCAAATCCCACTGCTCAACATCGGGGCTAGCGCATGTATTCTTTCTTAAAGGTATAGTGAAGGATGACCGTCTTGCCGTCCCCCAGTTTCAGATTCTTGTGACGCGCGACCGCGGCCAATCATGAACCATCCCTGGGGTCAAAGCTCCCGTGTGCCTGACGAGGCGTCTCGTTATCCTTCAATCGGTATCTAGATAGTGTGAGCAAAGGCTTCAATGATCGAAGTACAGAGTTGAAAGTAAGGAGTACAAACCGTACAGTTGTAGAGTATTTTTTCACGACCGCTAGAATTGGCCACTGACATCAAATTTGCATACCGGTGGAGCTGACCCCAAATCCTGGCGACGTCGGCATAGTCGGTTCCAACTTGATGTACTGGCTTTCGAGATTGTCTTCGCGCTGCTGCGGGTCACTGCCTTCTTCTGTGTCAAGTCAGTCATGGACCATCGCGATAGTCTCAGATGGGTCTGACCAGCGACACTGTTTGTCTCTAGCCACCATATCATGAAGTAAAAGATGCAGATGTGCGCAACCACAACCAAGAACAGTGCGATTCCAGTGAAGGTGATCTCTGGGCCCATTGATTTTCGAACGTCGAATTCGTACTCCTCGGAGATGGGTGCCATTGAAGTCAGGATGAGTGAGGTACGGTCTAGAATGATGATGGTGATGATGTTTTATTTTTATTTTTATTTTTAACAAATGATAGGCTCTGAAATGGAAGTAACGATGATCATTCTATTACTGAAGGTGTTTTTAGAGCTTGAGTTAATGTTGAAAAGCATCCTCACTTTGCCTGGTTCGACGTCGCCATTGCCAAATTGGGGATCGGAAGTAGACTTGAAGGTATGGTACATCGCAGTTGCTATTCCACCAAAACATCAAAGACCATATCAAAGACAATCCCACTGGCTTTCGGATTCTCCTCTACGCCGATACTGCCATTCAGCTTGTCAAACTGTACAGGCGCGACCGATGATTTCTCGGTCCCCGTGGATTTAGCTCTAGCTCGTTCCCGCCCGCGCATTTGAGCTCACTCTTTACAGGGCCCTCTATTTGTACACAGATAGCAAGCGCCACAGATAAAGATCCCAGACATCTGCGAAACTACGTCTGCAGCCCTATACGCGAAACATCTCGAACTCCACGTCAACGCTCTCCTCGAACCAGACCTATCCCCAGACTCCCATGCGATAATCTAGCGGCACCACCACCAACCAAAAGGCAATACTGCAAAGCGTCTACATCCCAGTCTTACCTTCTCAGCCTCCAACGACGCGGAACCCGAGATCAATCACAGACCAGAGAGCCATACCAAGAGCCGGGGCGCGTACAAGATACGGCCGTCTCGGTGCAAAACCAAAGACGGTAACGAGAGATCCGAACGGTCGACTGTGACAGCGTAATACTCGGATTCAAAATATAGCACACCGTATACTCGTACTCGTACACTGACGTTGACCAATCTCGGGACTTTCGGTGGTTGCCTGAGCACGAGGTGGACCGCGGGGGAAGATGAAGCAAGGCTTACTGGTTACTGACCCTTAATCTCGCGCGCGTCCGAGACGTGTCCGATTTTCCTCGCTGCGCCACCTTCCGAGACTATGTATGCTGACCTCATAACCGTTTCTTGGTGCATATGGGGAATTGGGTCAAATCCACTCAAGGCTGCTTGCTCCGCTTTCTGTGAGGGCTGGAATGTACGTGGTGCAGTAGGCTGATGGTATTGAATTTGGGAGGACTATTTTTGGATAGTTTCGGTGCTTACCGGATCTTGGGTTGGAGCTGAGAGCCTTGTTCGGGCGTAGAATTGGGCTGAGATTTCTTGCTGATGAAAACTCTATATACTCTTCTCCGTAATTATTCTCCGTTGAAGTATGGTTCTGAGCTAGTCTCTTCTCGGTTATTCTACCTTTGACCTTCAGTGCAGCAAGATTGCAGGCAGTGGTGTTCCGCTATAGGGACGTCACTATCGATCGAAATCGAGCCTCCCGATCTAGCAAGCCCAAAATGAAAACCTGGAGAACTGGCGGTCTACAGTGGCATGTGGCATGAGCCTGACATTCCAACAACCTAGATTGTAACAAACGCCACGATACGATTAGAGAAATGAGGATACCAATTACTTCCAGCTCGATCGCAGCCTTGTTTCTTACGGCCCCCACCGGCGACAAGGCTGGCCCCTATGCCGGTTCGCCGTCCTTGGCATTGCCCAGCCAGGTGGGTCGGTCATCGTGGCATTATCTAGGCATCACTTGGTATGTGCAGCCTCACTAAGCCACAGCCACACCCATGATCGTCCCTAGTATCATAGCGCATCGTAGATCAGGAAGTGTCCTGCACAAGCGGGGCCCGAAGCGGAGAATGCGCAGCACCTCCCCAAATTGTCAATTTCCTGTAATTAATCGTCAGAAAATTGAAATGCTACCAGGATGTAATTTCGGAGTATGTAATAGGCAATGCCTGAAATTTACTGTGGCAGTGGTAATCTAGAAGGGTGCCGGATCCGCATGGCAACCGGAATGATGAGCCCATGAGAATAGTATGACGCAATGGTCATGGTTCTCGAATCGCGGGCCGATACTACACCACGTCGACACAGGACTGTCGGGATTTGTTCTTGCGGATAATCGGGATTTATGAGTGGGGTGACGCTTACCCTTGATGTGGAATTTGCGGCGGCGGTGGTGGTGCCGATTTTCCACGGATCTGGTACCTGGAGAGGGCCGAACCATAGACCTGCCTTATCCGGCCGACTTGAAGCATGCAAAGAAGTATGAAAAGTATTGAAGCTGATACAGAAGACTTGAATTGCAGTCGATGGAGATAAAGAAGTCCATTGAGAAATAAATGAGTCGAGCCACCCGAATTCTATATACTGTGGATGCTTTTGCAAGGCGCCTTGGCCAAGGAAATATTAACCAGATAACGCCAACCCGGGGTCATAAGAGAGATGCCATGTCGTCAACGCCGAAAAAAACAATATGAGTCAAAGTTGAGGGTATTATGGGGTATCGGGGTGGGTTTTAGTCTTGCTTGGGGTGGTCGGGTTGATCTCCATGAGCCATCATCTGGAAGGCCTTGACCAGTCCCATCGCCGAACCAGCAGCAATACCTCCGACAAGAACCATTTGCACGCCACCGACGAACCCCTTGCGGACGTTCTTGCGACCCTTCCAGCCACTCACGAAGCAGGTCTTGCCGTATCCGAAGAGGAACAGGGCGACGACCATCGTGGCGATAGACCAACGCAGGGCGACGAATGCATCGTGGGGACCGACGAAGAAGTAAGGCAGAAGAGGGACGAATCCGCCGATGAAGTAACCCAGGGCGATAGTGAGCGCGCAAGTGACTGCTCGAGATTCTGAGGGCTCGGGGAGAGTGTGGTGGAAGTTCATGAGGAATGAAGGGAGCATAGGCGAGATAGCCAGGTGGTTGGTGAGCTGGGCCACCAGCTCTGAGGGCAACTCATAGGGCTCGAAAATGTCGGAGATCGTGGTCGAGACGGAGCCGGGGTCGGTCACAGTTTGTGATTGAGTTTCCTTCAATGTAGCCTTGTAGGATTCCCTGTATCAACTGTCAGTGGGGCTGTTGCTAATACACTTCTCTCGTCGTCTGAAACCCACTCTTCACTCTTGGCTCCGAGGTATCCACCGAGGCCCATTGAGATGGCACCTGCAATGAGCTCGGCCATACCGCCAAAGACGACTACCTTAGTATCACCAAGGGCAGACAGGCCAGCAGTGAGGGCAAAGGGCACTGTCATGCCGTCGGAGAGACCGATGATAGCGTCGGAGACGGTGCGACCGTCAAAAAAGCGACCAGACTTCTTCTCCTCCCGTCGGCCCTGTTTCTCGCCGGCCTCGACATCCGTCCGCAGACGCATATGCATATCCTTCTCGTCGTCGGTAGCCGAGCTACGATCGGACAACCGTGAGTAGCTCGACATGAGACCGCTGAATGAATTGATCGACATTTTGACTATTGACTAGCAATGGTAAAACTGCAACGACAAGTTCGAGAAGTACAGTAGCACACGACAGGAAAGAAGAAAAGGACAAGAGCGGCGGACGGAACTTAAGTCAGATCGAGTAAAGCCATGTGCCTCGCTTGAAGGTTGCACCAACGTGCGGAGACGATAGCCCCTTGTACATGGAGAGTATCAGAGCCTATCGAGATGCACGTGCTTGGCATTCCCTGCAACTAAAAACTAGCGCACAGCCCGTAGTCTTCTACGCGGACGCGCTAGGGCGAAACGTGCCGCTGGTTCTGATCTGGTTGGACTATTGTTGGGCTGACATAACGTGGCTCTCTCAGGGGTGAGCCAATCAAGTCATCTCTATTTGCTAGCAGAGTAAACGACTCCACCTCTACTCCATTTCTAGATTGAAATGCTTGATACCCGTGCCATCGACTAAGGCGCCTTGCCGAGTCCCGACATGTTCTAGGTCTGCATTCCTGTGAGAATTCCTAATCGCCTCACCCCCCCCCCCCCCCACCTTCCTACAGGGATAGGATTCTGCGGCAGAGTCTAGGGCGACCATCCGGCGGTCTCCGTCGAGTAAACAGTCCTGGTGCAGAGAGCGATGTGGGCATGCTCATTTTTGGCGTCAGCCATCCCCCTCGTGGTCGCTTTAGCTTCGGTCACAGGCCCAGTCGAGTTGGGCTATCTTGCTCGGTAGATGGTGAGGACGGAACTATGGCGTGTACGCAGGTACAAACGAGAAAAGGGTGGAGAAGGGTGTGTAGATGCTAGGCCTACGGTAGAGAAAAATATCCCATTGAAGTGGGCATCTTCCGGAATGCTTCTTCTATAAATTCCCTTTCTTCCCTTGCATTCTGCATCCGCAAGGAAGGTGCAGAATTCCGATCTAGATTTCCCACGCAACATCCGGACAAGCCACGATGAAGTCGATCGGGAGCCTAATTTGTCTTGCAGGCCTGCTCATCCCCGTATCAGCCCATCCTACGGCCCGAAATTCGCAGATCTGGGGCCAGCTGCGGGAGAATGTAAGTATAATAAAACCAGTTCAGCTTTTTCTCCGTCACATCTAATCTCAATTTAGATCAAACATGTCGTCTATCTGACCTTGGAGAATCACTCCTTTGATAACATTGCGGGCTACTGGGACTTTCACGAAGGCATTGACAATCTAGTCAACCGAAAGTTCTGCAACGAGTACACCAATGCCAATTGGACCGTGTGGGGAGAGCCGCTTGAGATCTGTGCTGGTCCCTACGAGACCGAGGTCCCACTCACCGATCCCGATCACAACTTCGCCGGGGTCACTTATGAGATCTTCCGCAAGTGGAACGTCACCAAGGACGATGTTCCCAATATGGCCGGCTTCGTTGAGCGTCAGTCTGAGAAATACAGCTCTACACCTGGCGATGCCTCCTTCGTGATCCAGGCCTACAGCCAGAAGAAGACGGCGCTGCTTGCTGAACTGGCGCAAAACTTTGCCTTCTTCGATTCCTACGTATGTTGTCATCCACCCATTCAAGACAAAGAACGAGATAGCTGATGATTGAGGGCACAGCATGCTGAGCACCCTGGCCCGACTAACCCTAACCGCCAATTCGCGACCTCGGGATCTAGCTGTGGCTTCGTAGACAATACAGACCAGGCTGCCGGTTTCTACAACAATGTCACTGGAACCAGCTGTGCCACATCAGTCTTTGAATCACTGAGTAATGAGGGAATCAGCTGGAAGAATGTAAGACGCCGAAATCACTTGAATTCTTCTATACCTCAGCTGACGATTCCTAGTACTACGAGACTGATATCGTCGATGCGTTTAACTACAAGGTAAGCATCCCTTCCAAATAGCGAATCCCAGCACTAACACTACACAGTGGGTCCAAGACAATGCCATGGACCATTTGCATCACGCCGATCAGTTCTACCGTGACCTGGAAGAGGGGACCCTACCCGCCTTCTCATACATCAACCCAGAGTGTTGCACCATTGATTCGATGCACCCAACCAGTCCCATGGCGTCGGGTGAACAAATGATCAAGCACCTTTACGATGCACTGCGCCGCTCGAAATACTGGGACAACGCGTAAGTGCAGCTTCTAACCGGTCTATACCAAGATACTAACAAGCATAGTCTGCTGATCATCAATTTCGACGAGCACGGTGGATTCGCCGACCACGTCCCCCCACCGATGAACATCCCCCAACCCGAGGATAAAATCACCTTCAATGGAACCTCGGAGGGACACAACATAACATATGACTTTACTCGTCTCGGTGTCCGGTATGCTTGGCGAAGTACCTTTACGAGTTAAGAAACTGACGGTTCATAGCGTGCCCGCCTTCTTGATCTCGCCCTATGTTCCAGCGAACTATCTCATTCACGACGAGGGTACCATGTACGCTGAAAACTCGGCCTACACTCACACCTCGATCCTGCACTTCCTGCAGGAGCTGTGGGGATTGGAGGGTCTCAACAACCGAGTGCAGTGGGCCAAGACTTTCGAGTCGGTCTTCACCGATGTGCAACGTCATGATACACCCAAGACCCTTGGGACTCCGACATGGTATGGTGGAAGCGGACAGCCCGAGCCAGATACCTTCTACCGCTTGAACCAGGACTATTCTTACTACGCTTCCCTGGATTAAGGTCGACCTCACTAGCTCTCTGGTCAAGATGGCGCGGGAATGGATATGGCCACCCGTGAACCCCACCTGCATGAATAACGAAACATGACTAGCATGTAACTTGTTAATCAAAAAATGTTACCACCGTTTGTACAGATGTAGATTTGCAATCAAAATGTATTCAGAGAAAAGATCTTTGGCACGCAAAGAATGCTATGTACAAGGCCGTAAGGCGCGAATTCCAATATCCAAAGTCGAGATGGCAATGCCATCACAGAGAAGATCCCTGGGTATAAGGCATGATCATACATCGTGACGCATTGGGCGGTATCAAGAAACCGCAAGGATGGAATGCAGATAGGAGTTGAAGTGGTGAAGATCGATCGAATCAAGAAGACCAAAGATATGAAGATGAAGTGCTGGCTATGCCACGCAGAAAAGAGAGCCAGTAATATCTGCGTCGAGCCCTCGAGTCCAAATCACGGTACCCAGTACTCAGTACCTTGGCGAGGGTATCGGCTCGAGCGCTGACAAAAGACGAAATGAAAGTAAATTAAAGCGAACTGGGCGTTTACTTCGAGTGCCTAACCAGCAAAGTCAGTAAACATCCTACACCCAGGATCAAACCCAAAAGCAGATAACATACGGCTTGCGCTTATCACCATTCTTCTGTTCGGCACCACTCATATCCCAAAGCCGACTCTTGTACGCGGGAAAGGAGGTGTGATTCCACATATTGACGAGGACACTAGAATAGATTAGATTAGCGACAACCCCCACGCATTTTGAGAAACAAGAGAACAAACCTTTGAGTACGATCCTTATACGCCTCATCCTTGACCTCCTTAACCTGCACCTTCATTCCATCCTTGCTGAAGACCATATTCTTCTTCTCCATCTTCGCGCGCGTGTTCTTGCTGACATCTTGCACGATGGTGTACACTACGTACCCGACGCCCGCGACGATCGCGACGAAGAGGAGGAGAAGGACGAGAGGGAGGACGCTGTGCTTGGACTTTGCCATTGTGAAGCGTGACGCTGAGAGGGGTGTGGCTGGAGGAAGGAAAGTGAAGGGTGGAGGGTCTTTTGTGCTCTCGGCGCCAAGGGTTGAGTCGCGTGTAGGCCTGGGGCTTTTGCTGGGCGCTGCTGCCTAGAGGGCGTTGGTATGCAAGAAGTACTGAGGTTTGCAAGTTCCGAAGGAAAGTAAGGGAAAGAAGCGAAAGGGTATAGGAAGTACTGCAATCCTGCGCTAGAAGCATCAGGGGCTTTTCATAATAACGGACAACGGTTCTGGTTCAGGCCCCCGTGACGTTGGTGTTGATTCGACGGGAAGGATGGCTGTGCGGCGTGGCTTGCCGTTCTATTCTTAGCTTTCATCTGGCCTTTTTCCATTTCTAGTTCCTTGTTTTCTTGTTTCCATATCCTAGTTTACTGACATCTGAATACCTTCATTTTTATCCATCGTAGATCAAGACTGTTGACACATCCTAACGTAGCGCACTGCAAACCTGGCAACCTTCGGCTCGATCGGTGGATAGCCGTCTCATTTGCGTCATCATGATAGAATCCCAAACTCTGGCGACCGTCTTGATCTGGGGAACTCTAGCTCTCATTCTTTAGAACTCCGAAATCCCGACTGCTGTAAAACGTTCAATTCTATCCCTAATCCCTAATCCCTAGCCCACCATGTGCGACGTACCCTTCTTCCCCATCTTTCCCATCTGTTTCCAGTGCGGCACGGACCAGAATCCGTGTCATTGCAAGGTCGTCGGGCCGACTCTAGGTGAGTCTACTATCTACTTCTTTCTTTCTTTCTTTCTAGGAAATCGCTCAATGCTTACGGCATTCGTGGATAGGATTCTGTTCTACCATCATCGCGGCAGTATGTAAACAACAAACGATATCCGTGGCTGAGCTAATGACTAACTAACGCAGGTGGTTTGTTGGCCAGCTTCGATCTTTTGTGGCTGTGGCTGTACCAAGACTGGACGAGAGTATGTCCTTGTGCCTTGTTCCTAGTTGGTGGTGTGGGCTAATGTGAGGCAGTGTGCTCGCATACCCGGTTAAACTGAATGGACAAGTCAGTAATGCTATACCATTTTAATCGTGAAATGGGGTGCTGGGCACCTGGGGGTTTTATATAATTGGGACGGAGTTTGGATTTGATTTATATGTTTAGCCTTGATGCTAGGGAATGAATATACGTTTTTCAAACAGGTATCGCACTTTAGGCTGGGGTTGACAGGGCTGGGGTTGACAGGGTCTCCTTACGTTTGAGTGCGTAATGGGCGTTGGAAGACTTAAATCCTACGGGATTGATACAATGGCAAGAAGTAGTTCTAAGGGTAAATTCCCCTGTCGGATTCGATTGAATTGAGGAAATTATCAAGGGTCCATTAATCCAGAAGTGGAGACACTATTAGAGCAGACGAAAACAAGGCTTGCTGGAATACAATGCGGTGCAGAATGAGGTATCCAGGTCAAAATAAAAACAAAGGCAACGGAAGCAGGCAGTTCAAAAACAGACAAATTCCTCCAGCTGCTTTATCCATCTAGGAGCCAGATCACAAGAAGCATCTACTTGAGCTTCTCCTTCAACTTTGAGAACCAACTGCGACGCTTCTTCTTCTTGTCATCCTTACTGCTACCCTCTGAGGTAGTCGTAGTTCCGGCAGTCTCGGTAGTGCTGGACTTCTTAGCAGGCTTCGGGGTGCTCACTGTGTCGGTAGGGACGGTCACAGGTCCGTCGGTCACAACTGGGCCAGTCTGGGTGGCGGTAGCAGGTGTGGAGGTTGGTGCCGGCCCAGAAGAGCGACCCGGGGGAGGAGTAGACATGGGAGACACATCGGCGGAGTCGAAGCCAGGAGCGGCGAGACCAGCGGCGAGGCCGGGGGCAGTGGGCTGAGTAGCCGCAGAGAGGGTAGGAGCCGGAGTGCCGGCCGACTCATTCAGGTTAACCTTCTGTCGGAGTTCTTGCTCGACCTCCTTCTTCTCTTCAACAGCCTCCTTGTTGGCTGCTGCTTCGGGGCTCTGGTGAGAGTTGGTAATCGACTCTTTCACGACCTCCGGGACATCCTCTACGGGTTTGGTGCCGTTTGTCTGCTTGCTGCTCTCGAGAGGAACAGCGCCGGCCAGGGCAGCAGTGGTTGAGGTAGGAGCTGCCGACTGGGTAGTGTAGTCACGGTCGCTGGCCGGTTGCTTGTTCTTTTCGAGAGGGACCTCAGCAGCCAGGGCAGCGGTGGTCGAGGTGGGAGCGGCCGACTGGATGGTGTAGCCAGGATCGGCGGCGGTCTGCTGGTCGTTCATGGCAGCCCGCTGTGCGGGTCCGCCCATAGGCAGACTGGACTCGGGAATGAGGTTTTTGGAGACGGGGGGCACGGCGAAAGCACTGGAGGTAGCGGTGTCGGGCTGAGTGCCGAGGGGCAGACTGTCTCCCTTTTCATACGACTCCTTGTCCAGTTTCACGGTCGACTCGACGGTGTTGCCATGGACCGAGCTTAGGTCAGGGACCTTCTCGCCAGGGTTCAGCTTGATCGGGTTGCCGTAGCCACCCGAGGCGGGAATGGGATTGACGGATAGGATTTGCTCGGACTCCTGTGCCGGTGTCTCAGGGAAGGAACCGGGGATTTCACCGTTGGCCTTCTCCTTGGGGACATCCGCAGCGAGGGCCGCGGTGGTGGAATCGGGGGTGACACCAGACATGGTTGCGGGTGCGGGGCGGGAGGAATCTTGAATCTCTTCAGGCAGGAGCACGTTGTTGACGTTGTTGTGTCCGTCAATCTCTTCGCGTACACGACTATCGGTTGTCCAGATGCCGTCAACAACAAACTTCAAAGACAAGTCAGCACTGGGACGACCCAAGGTTCGTGAAACAAGCGGTTTTATAGTTATGGAGTGAGACCGGCCGAGTGACGTCAGTGGATGGCCGGAGCGTCATGGAAAAACCGGGGGTTGCCTAAAGGGCTGCCTGAGGCTTGCTATGGCTCTGCTCACCGCAACGTTTTTATCTAGTGCGGCGCAGCAAAAAGACCAGGGCAGGGGGTATAGATCAAAGAGAGGGGAAACCGACCTTGTAGTGAACCTTCTCAATGGGCAGAGACACCTCCTTTGCGAAGCCATCGCTCACCCGGTCAAGTTTCACCGTCTTACCCCAATCGTCGAAAGTGCCCGTGACATATACGTCGTTCGCGTCGTAAGGCCTGCAAATGCGACGGACCGTACCAGTCAGCTATCCAATTCTTTCCGTCTCTCAGTGCGACTCGATCTGATCTTGGAAAGAGTCGAGAGAAAATGAGGAGGGGGAGTTGATGCGACAAGACTTACCATTGGAATGTAAAGATCCCCATTGTGAGTGAATGGGCCAGAAATGGACAAAGATGTGGCAGAGGTGAAGGTGAAAAAGTTGGGAGGAGAAGCAAGCTATCGGGTGGGGGGTGACACAGACCATGTTCTCGCCCTTTAGTCTTTAGTCTACGGGCCCTGAATCCAGGTGAACCTTACCCTATAGCTTGGATACTTGGGGGATTAATAATATCACAGGTACTGTGGGCACATGAGCTCCGAGAATCGAGAAAAATCAAAAAATCAAAAAAAAAAAATCCAAATTAGAGAGTAATACAATTGACATGTGCCTATGTAGGTACTGTACAGCAAGTTGCGGTCGCATTAATGAAAAGTGGCTGGGGAATAGTGATCGGTGACAGACGGGTTGACTCCTGTTCTGTGCATGGACATGCGCCCAAGGGGGCCTGATCGACACTACATGCTACCCGCACGCAATACTAACTTTGCACTGGCTATATCCCAAATTCAAAAATATTCCAAGGGAGAAGTCAATTATCCCTCCCTAGTCTCTCCCCAAGACAGGCTGAAAACGGTAGGGCACTAGTGATAAATGAATGACCTCAAGAGTCACCCTCCGCCCAGATTTGCCACCGAGTCCCACTCCTGTGGCGACCAATGTGCAACGGTCATCTCCCTTCGACACCCGCTGCGTGTTCTAGAAGACACCTGGAAGACGCCGTAACGAAGCTTTTTTTTTTTTTTTTTTTTTTTCCTCTGCTTTTCGCACCTTGGGCCCGGTCGTGTGCTTCCCCTATATGTAGAATTAGAAAAGTTAAGCTCGGAACTCTGGATCTGCCGGCTAGCAATCCGCGGGTGAAAGTGACGTCGATCGCCATAGTTAGCCAGTAGTGTTTCTGTAGTGGACTGTAGTGAATTCGGTAAGTCTAAAAGGTGTATGGTATGGTCCATGATCGACGAAGAAGCTCAGACCAACCGCCCCGACTTTACTCCTCCTCTACCCCTCCCCTCTCTCTTTCCCTTTCACAGCTCAATCCCTGAAACCTGGGGATCTTCTCCTTTCTTCTGGAGTCTCGCTGCCTTCTCTATGTAAGTGTCTTGGATCATCCCGAGATCTCCTCTCCTCCACTAGCTGTCCTCCCACTTCCCCCTCCCCCGGAGCGGTTTGTCTGGGTCCGGCCTCCAATTAGACTCATCCATGACCCATCCCCACTCACTGCTGGCCGAGCCTGCCCCTCCATTCTGAACATCTTTCTCCCTGCACCTTTCCTCTTGTCTCGATCTTCTCCTTTACATATCCCATCCTAACATCCCCACCTCAGAGCAGTCCAGACTCTCACCTCGCCGTCTTTACACCTTTGCAACCACACACTCTCTTTCCTATATTAGTCTGGCCGGAGCCGCGGCCCCTCCGGCCTTTACAACCGCAGTCATGGCGGAAAGCTCCAACTCTTTCCCGGGGACCAACCCCTTCATCAACACCAAACTCGAGAAATCCCCTAGCATCCAGAAAATCTCCGAGGATGAGGAATTCGAGGTGACGTCACCAACAGACATGACATTTCGACAGGCCAACGCTGGCTCGGGGAATGCCAACTTCGGAGGAAGCGCTTTCAGCGAAGGATCACAAGGTGGAGGCCCCGGAGCCTCATTTTTTGGCCAGAGTCCTTTCGGCACGGGAGCTGCATCGGGCGAGGGCGAGTCGGAGGAAGGCGGCCTGGGCGCGCTCCCCACGGGATCCGCACGGCAAGGCTTCCCTAACAACTATGCGTTGGGTCGTCGTACCTCGGTGTCGGCGGAGTCGTTGAACCCCACGTCTGCCGGCGATGAAAGCTGGGCGCCCCCGCACCACCCCAAGACTGACGAACAGTTGGCTCGCCTCAAGACCGCGGTCAGTGGGAACTTCCTCTTCTCTCATCTCGATGATGATCAGTTCAAGACCGTACTCGATGCCCTGGTCGAGAAGCCCATTCCCGCCAAGGATATCAAGGTGATCTCGCAGGGCGACGCCGGCGACTACTTCTACATTGTGGAAAACGGTTCTTTTGATATTTACATCCACCCTTCTGGTTCCGTGCAGCCAGGTCCCGATGGCCTGGGCAACAAGGTCAGCTCCACTGGGCCTGGAGGCTCGTTCGGCGAGTTGGCCCTGATGTATAATGCCCCACGTGCTGCCACCGTTGTTTCCACCGAGAAGAGCACCCTATGGGGTTTGGATCGCATCACCTTCCGGCGGATTTTGATGGACTCGGCGTTCCAGCGGCGCCGCATGTATGAAGCCTTCCTGGAAGAAGTCCCGCTTCTCTCCTCCCTCAAGCCCTATGAGCGCGCCAAGATCGCCGATGCACTGGATACCATCAAGTTCCCTGTGGGAGCTACCATTATCGAGGAGGGCGATCCGGGTGATGCATTCTATTTGTTGGAGTCTGGAGAGGCGGAGGCGCTTAAGGGCGGAGCGTCTGTCAAGGAATACCACCGGGGCGATTACTTTGGTGAATTGGCTTTATTGGACGACAAGCCACGCGCTGCGAGCATTGTCACCAAAACCGAAGTCAAAGTGGCACGCCTGGGACGAGATGGTTTCAAGAGACTCCTCGGACCCGTGGAGGAGATTATGAGACGGACCGAATATCAGTTGGATGCGTCCAAGTCCCCTGTTTCTGCTTCATGAATGTGATACGATACGATGAAAACGATTTGGGACATGACATGCAAGACTTGGACTGCCAGAGACCCTGAGTCTAGACCTTAGGTTATCTTTTTGAACGATTTCCATTGTTCCGTGTGCGCCCGTCCCCCATTGTTATTTTATTACTCCAATGACTCCTTTCTCTATCCCGATGCCCCACCGATCCAACGCTCTTTATGACCTGTATCTACTCTTTATCTGCGGCGCGGTCCCTGGCACAGGTACCTAGGTACCTATTGTCGTCCTTGTCATACTATCTTGCAGTTGAATTATTCATGTTCTGAGATTCTCGGGACAGAGCAAATTGACTAGAATTTATCAAATGATATTTTATATCCCACCGTACACCTTACCATGCAATGTAATCACAGGCCTATCTAGCTATGCCAATCGTTACCCGTATACCCAACGCCCACTGTAATGGTTCACCTTGAAACAACCAAATCACTACGCAACACCCACTTCTCCCCATTCGTCACTTCTTTCCCTTCATGCAGCATGCATTGATCCCCATGTCGATGGAACAACGCCATTCCCATCTCTGGCACCACAGTTATCGGCTCAGGGTTGCGATCAGCCCGTGTAGGTTCCGGCAAAAATACCGTCTCGCCGCCAGAGCAAGTAGTCAGATAAATAAGAAGGGTCCAAGTCGTGCGCGCAGGCATGGACTTCGCCGCCCCCAAAGGAAGGAAGTTCAGTGCATTAGATTCGTCATCTGCGAATGATTAGCCTACACCTCTTTTCATTCTCCGTGTAGATAAAGACGCACAATGTTGTGCAAAGAACTGCCCCGCTGAGTATCGATAGATGCGGATATTAGGATTCAAGCCTAACGGCTCTCCGCCCCAGACCTCTCGTGCTCTCCGTGCAAGTTCTTCCGGCGATGGAGCAGTCCTATCCTCGTCATATTCATCGTATTCATCCTCACCGAATCGCGTTGTGGCGAGTTCTTTCATCGCTGTCCCGCTCCATAACAACTCTGCGAATCGCGCATCCTCTACCTGGAACCGATCATTCACGCGTACCGCCTCGTCCTTCTTCGGTTTCCCGGGCGTCGTAGTCATAGGTAGGGACGCGAGAAAAGAAGCGTATGTCTTGCATAAGGAAGCGGGGGAGGAAGTTGTGGATCAAATAGATCTGATCGGGGACGAGGGCTTCGAGGCTTAAGTCGGCGGCGGGGAGGAGCGGGCGGAGAGGAGGCCAGTCTGGGGTGGAGATACTGGGCTTGGCCTGGGTATCGGACTTTTTTGGCTTGGGCATTTCAAAATTAGAGAGTGTCTAGATGTGTAGACGCAGAGGGGGTATGGGTGCTATGTAAGGTATTTTCAGTGGGGAAGTGGAGGGTTGTGCGATAAGATGAGCCCGAGGTTTCTGCATCTTCTCCAATTTGCCTCCGCTCCCCCCCCACAGCTTGGGTGACTTGCATAGTACAGATATGACACCGGCTAGAGGAGAATTTATTGTTAAGTTGAGATAGCTGGAGGAGGGGTACCCTCACGGTGAGCTTCTATTATCCCTCTGCGCTGAGCGCTGATCCATTGGAGTATAAAACTGGACGAGCCGAATGGCAGCGGAGTCAAGCCGACTATCTCGAGAGGGGTCGACTCCACTTGCAGATTTTGGCAATTCTACTTGCTAACACGTCAATGGGAGGGTTTGAAGAGCATAGGGGGGAAAGGAAAGCCAAATAGATCTCTCGATCTAGAGCAGACCGATTCCGTAGATCTAGACGGTGAGGAACCAGGCACCTAACGTGGTGGATCTGGTCGGAGGTCAGGAGCGGGGCAACAGAGAAAATTTGTCCCGGTAGATCGTTGAGGCCCCAGGGGAGATCCGTCCATGGCAAGTTTCTTGAGAAACTCTATGCTCTTTTTCTGTTTTCACGGCTTCACCCTTGACATTCTCTACGACCATTCACTCAAAATCATGCAGTAGACAGAAGAATCTTCAAAAGTACGGGCGTCTGCAGCCACCATCTCGGCAGGCCCTCACCGCCCGGCCCAAAGTGAGAACTTCAGCTTTTGTTCCTCTTCTCCTCTTTTCCCTCCGCTAGAGCCATGTCGTCGCAGACCATGACGGCGCCAGCAGTGGGCCATCGACCGCCTGATCCAGGCCACGATACGCCCATGTACGACTATGGTCTCCCCCAGAATGACGGCTCTCCCCCGAACGAATCGAGGAGCGACTCCGCAATCCGCGACATGCATAATTCTGCCCCAACCTCCAAGGGCTTGCCTACCACCCCGATCGGTGTCAAGTCGGAACCCTCCGAAGACCAGGACTTTCCCATGTCCGAGAATCAGAAGGAAATCAATACCCAGTCCGCCGCCGGCGCCCTGCTCGCCCAGCTCCTCGGAAATCAAACCGCGCCGAATTCTGCTGCGCCAGATCAATCGACCCGACAACAAGTGGATCAAAAGGATGGGAGTTTTGAAGAGTTGAATAGTCATTTTATGGGTCAATCCGGCGATTTCACCGCGACCATGGACTCGAGTCAGCAGCAGGACCCAAATTTAATATCAAGGGGCATGTCCAACGGCGGAAAACCTTCCGTTGATGTGCTCGCGGTTGCCGAAATGGGCCCCCAGGAAGGAAACAACACGGCGCATAGAGGGTCTGACGCAATGGACTTCCTCTCCGATCCCAAATCGGGCATGGATGAGCCATCTCTTCTGCCCCCTTTCGATTTCGCTTCTGCCGCAAATAACCCGTTCGATGCTCTGCAGCAGAACGAGCTTATTACTGCCGCGTACCTATCACAGGGCGCGGACTTGTCGGCACTGGGATATCAAGGTGGAGCGGCATCAATCGCCGGGTCTGAGCCTCAGATCCAAGCGTTTGCCAAGTTAGAGTTTGACGATGGTCATTTTTATGTCAATACCTACTCGTTTATATTGGGGCGAGACGTCCGCGCTGCGCGCGCTGCCCATCATCGAGAGATCCAGTTCCGGCAGGCCGTGCGAAGCTCTCGAGCGAAGAGTTCAAGTGGAGGCAATACCTCGCACACGCCCAACCGTATGAAGCGCGAGGAAAGTGGCCCAATGATAGGCAGTGTTGTGAGCGACCGGGGAGGTATCATGGGGTTTGACCCAGATGTTCCTCCGAATCTTCCAGCCAATGTCGAGCTCAGCCGACGATCATCAAAATCTTCGTTTGATGGTTCTGGACCGCCGCTGCACGCGAACCCGGCGCAATTAGAGTCGACTACTGACTACAATGCGCTCGCAATGCAATCATTGCAAGATGGTGCTGGAGAGGTCAAGCCCGTTGATACGATAGCTTTGCTCCCATCTCCTGACTCCTGTCCTACTATTCCTATTCATCCCCCCTCGACGATCGACGGCAGTGCCGCAGGCCACCGAGGTATCTCTCGCAGACACGTTCGCATTTCTTACAACTTCGACCGCAATCTTTTCGAGATGGAGGTTATGGGTCGTAATGGCGCATTTATTGGAGCCGATTGGCTTTCCCCAGGGCAAATTCGCCCGTTGCATAGCGGTGATTATATCCAGATTGGTGGAGTGCGCATCCGCTTCTTGTTACCAGATGTTCCTATCGGTGAAACTGGAGCGGACCGGATGGAAGAGAAGATGGCAGAGGAAAAGGAGGCGCAAGAGTCGATTGATGTCGACGTTGATGTTGATGCCGACGCCGATGCCGATGCCGATGCTGATGCCGACGCTGATGCTGACGCTGACGCTGACGCTGACGCCGACGCTGATGCCGACGCTGATGCAGATGCAGAGCACGAGATTGACGACATGGACAGGCAAATCAGCGAGAGTCTTGATGGCAAGGATTTCAAGAAGAGTTCCAAGAATAGGGATGATTCGAAACTACTGGCTTCCATCGAAGCAGGTGGGGATCAACCGGCTCGCCGCCGCGGACCTGGCCGTCCTCCTAAGGATGGGATCATGTCCAAACGTGAACGGGCCGAACTTGCTCGAGAGCAGAAGCTGGCCGCCAAGCGCGAGGCCAATGGAGGTGTCACGCCGCCTCCTCTTGTCAACACCAAGCCTAAGGCTGGAAAGACGGTTTCCAAGGAGCCTTCTCAAGCCGAGTCGCCTACATCCTCCAAGCCCGCCGAGAAGCGCAAGTACACCAAGAGGAAGAAGGGCGATGGTACCCCAATGGATTATCCTCTGCCTTCAACAGAAGGTGGCCACTATGCTACGGAGCAACGGCCTGAGGAATATGTTAAGCCTCCCCCGGTCAAGAAGCGCAAGCCATCACGGTCACCGTCTCCCAACTACCCTCCCGAGTCTGCTTATACCCCTGAAGACCTGGCGAAGCCTCCTTACAACTATGCCGTGCTCATCTTTGATGCTCTCACGGAGGCTACCATTCCGATGACGCTGAAGCAAATCTACCGTGCATTGAAGCTGAAGTATCCCTACTTCCGTTTCAAGTGCGAGACAGAGGGCTGGACATCCAGTGTTCGGCACAATCTTAATGGCAATGGGCATTTGTTCATGCATGCAGAGCGAGATGGAAAGGGATGGTCATGGCAGCTTCGTCCTGGTGCCTCTGTTGAGAAGGAGAAGAAGAGACGTCCTTCGCCTCCTCCCCCTCCGCCTCAGCAGCAACAGCAACCTGCACCTCCTCCCCCGACGTACATGTCTCCCATGACGCATTCCTATCCACCCCCTTCGGGGGCTCCTGCTCCTATGCCGAATCACCATCAGCAATTCCAATTCCCAACTATGCCATCCACCAAATTCCTTGCTCCATCAGCAACTCCGCAACAACACACAAGTCCTTATACCCCAATTACAGTCGAAGGAAAGGTATATCAACCGGCCCCATCTGCTCCCACTGTCGCCCCTCCTACGGCTCCTGCTCCGATCCCTGCGCCGGCTCCACTTCCAGCTCCTACTCCCGCTCCTGTTTCTGCACCCGCTCCATCTCCTGCCCCTACACCTGCACCGGTCCCGGCCGCTGCATCTTTCCCCATTCCGAGTGCCATTCGCAGCAGCCTCCCGGCCGCCTTCGCTCAGACGATACCTTCGACCTACACCTCCCCCTATGCCAATAATCCTGCTCCACAGGCTTCTCAGCCACAGTCACAGACTCCCCAGCCTGGAGCAGGCGCACCGGCGCAGCACCAATCCCCTTATGCGCCTCAAAAGCCATCTCCTTCTCAACCCCCTCACCTGAACGCGCAACCCCAAGCTTTCCCGCCACCCGCAGGGCCATCATATCAACCCCAGCACCAGCAGCACCAGCAACAGCACCAGCACCAGCCGGTCCAGTCGCAGCAGCATCAACATCAGCATCCGCCGCAGCATGTGCCCCAGCCACACCAGCAACAACAGCAGCACCAACAGCACCAGCAACGTCCGCCGCCTCAAGCACAACAGGCGCATTCTCAACCGCCTCCTCCGGTACAGCAAAATTCCGCACCTCCCGGTCCGCCAGAGCCATCCTCGTTCACTGAACGCGCGAACAAGGCCATCGACGACTTTGAAGCCGTTCTCATGGAAGACTACGAAGACAAGAACTACATCCGCGAGGTGCTCCGGAGTGCGCGCGCTCGGGTCTTGGGCAATGCCACCGAAAGTTCATTCCCAGGTGGTGAGCCCAAAGACGAAGCAGTTATCATGGACGTGCTGCGCAATTTGGTTGGAAGCCTGAAAGACGAGTAGAAACACCCTTCTCTCGTCATGAATTACGACTTATTTTCACCCGCTTTGGGGCACGGGTCCCGGCTTTTGAGCTTGATGCAACCCGGTTCTGCTGCCGTGTTCGGGTTGATGATGGTAACGTCTCGAAGAGCGCTCGACCGGGAGGGAAATGGTCCTCCCTGACGATCTTATCGAGTATACGAGTCTTATGTCTTTGTTTGCGTCTGGGTTCTCTTTGAATCTTAATGATATCCCTCTGTTCTGGCAGGCTTCTAAGCCTGAGCCCGTTTTTTCTGGATTTTCTTTTTCTTGTTTGGGGTCGCTGGCTAAACTGTAGTACTCGAATTGCAAGTACTACTGCGCCAGAAGGGGGGTTTCCTCATATTCTCTACACTACGTGGGTTTATGTTGACCGCCCTTTTTATAACTTCCCGATATCCCGACTCTGGGCGCATGTCTGAAAAATACAAAAGCTGAGCATTATAGAATTACTAAATCCACATTTCATGGATATTACTCTTCCACTTTAGTCTTAGCTTATGCTGTATTCAAGAACGATTCCTTCCATTCGACCCGGTCCGCGGCATAATTGCCTCCCCCGCGCCAGAGCGGAGGGGGGTGTGCCCGAATTCTTCC